GGGGGGGGGGAGGGGGAGATTTCTTGTGTCACCGGTTGCATGCATTTCTGGGTAAAGGTTTGGTTTTGTTCATCGCATCATGTTGTTTCTTCCCGGTTTTGATGGCGTTCTTGCCATGGTCATTGTTTTGTTATCCTCAGTTGCTGCTTCTGGTCGTCGTTAGGGGTTTCAAAGTGTCCTTCTGCAACTCGCTTCGTTCACTTCGACTCTTCTGACTGGCCTTTTTGCAGGTGGCGTCTAGCCACGGTACATTGTTTCGTTTGCTCTGTTATCGTTTCCCGCATCTGTTTGTCGTTTGGAAGTCCATCTCTGTCTTTTTTTTTGCAATTCGCTTCGTTCACATCTGCTCTTCTGGCTGAATCTGCTATCTGCTGTTGTTTTCTGCGCGATCTGATGGCGTTCTCTTCATAGTCACTGTTGTGTTATGCTTTGTTATCGTCTGTTGTTGTGTCTGTTCGTCGTTCAAGGTTTTCACTCGTCTTTTTGCAAATCGCTTCGTCTGTCTGGCTTGTTGCGTGCATGCAGCGTTGTATATCTTTTGCCATATTCGGTGACATGTCTATGCTTACAAATCCTTCAAGTTCCTGCTTGCCCATTCGAAAGCGACAAATGTAGCGGCGTTGGCGAACGGGCTTCTGACCAAGGTCGGTAGTAGACCTCGGAAGAATCCCTTGACACCGTCTTGCCTAAAGGTTTGACGGATGCAATCCAGCGCACCCTTGTACCTTCTCTGTGAGGGATCGAGTGCGTCGGTTTGGAGCTTGCTCTTGATGATGTCCGCCGGGTAGGCTGTGAGCCAGAGGGCGTAACCTGCCATTGCGCCGGAGAACATGGCGTACGTCGCTGGCAGTTCGTTCCTCGAGATGTTGGACGAAGACAGTTTGTGCGAGACGAGGGCTTCGTATGTGAGAAAGTACATTCCCATGCCGTGAAACTCGCGCGCAAAGGTAGGCAGTTGTCCGCGGAAGATCGAGAGTGGTCCAGCAGTAGTGGTGATCGAACGGACGACGTCGATCGGACCTCGGTAAAGCGGTGGTGAGGGTTGGGTCTGGAGTCGGATACGGATGTGCTCGACGGGCCCGGCAACGACGCTATTCGCCAAACCTGCGATCCCTCCTGCGAGGTAGAATTGCCCGTAGCTCAGGTCGGCGGATCGATTCGAGCGCACGTTGGACGAGGAGAACTGTCGTTTGAGCGCTTCGACTACGCCGAACTGGATGGAAACGCAGGCACCGACACCGAGGAGTGGAGTGAGCGTGCCCTTGTAGAAGGCGAGCGGTCCTTCGTTGCGGACGATGCGGGTGGCGCAGTCGAGCATACCGGTGTAGGTGCCCGGGGGTGAGGTCTGGAGACGCACTTTGAGGATGTCCAGTGGTTGACCGACGAGCACCTGGGCGATACCGCCGATGGTACCGGAAAGCACATCTTGCTGACCTTGCGACAGGAGCGGTACTTTGGGGAGCGAAGAGAGCTCCGCCATGGTCGAAACGAGCGGAATAGAACTTCGAAAAGGAGAGTGAAGGTGGGAGAGGTAGGAGGTGATGAGGAGAGTTGGGTACGAGGTTGATCAGGGTCCAACGCTCAAAAAGATAAGAAAAGCATTATTTCTTCTTCCCGGACGGCAAAATTCCCGCTTTTTTCTTTGTACGAGTTGCTGCAACTCCACATTTCATACTTGCTAGCATCGGTTCTTCTCGTTGACACTACCATCACCATCACAGCATCTCACACAGACCACCATCAGCACCGCCTGCTCAGTCTCCACCCTGCACACCATGACCGTCGTGCTGCCCGGCGACGTTGTGCCCATCGCCTCCGGCTCCTCCATCAAACTCGGTCCTGGTCTGCTCCCCACCCCATCTGCCTCCTCCTCCTCCTCCCTCACCGCCATCCGAACCGGACCGCTCGGCACGATCTCGTCTTCATCCGGCACCACCACCACCTCCTCCTCTGCATACTACATCGAATCCTCCACGCAACGCTACATCCCCTCGCCCTCTGATTCGGTCATCGCCCAGATCACCTCGCGCAACCCCGAATCTTACACCGCCACGCTCTTCTCCGCCCACACCGCCACGCTCCCCGCGCTCAGCTTCGAAGGTGCCACCAAACGTCACAAGCCCAACCTCAAGATCGGCTCGCTCGTCTATGCACGTGTCGTCTCGGCGGACCGATTCACCGAACCTGAGTTGACGTGCGTCAATCCGGTGACCGGGAAAAGCGATGGGTTTGGCGAACTCAAGGTGACAGATGAGCGCGGGGAGAGGGTCGGGTTCGCCGGACTGATCAGGTGCTCGATCGGTTTGTCCAGAAGGTAAGTTTTCAAAGCAAAGAGGGAGAACAAGAGAGATAGAGAAGAACACTGATCCCAATCTGCCGCCGAACAATAGTCTCCTCCGTCCATCACATACACTTCTCAAACAAGTCGCAACGCACTTCCCCTTCGAAGCCGCCGTAGGCGCAAACGGCGCCATCTGGATCAGAGCCAATACCGCCAAACACGTCATTGCCGTCACCAAGGTCGTCGAAGCCGCCGACCTACACGCTACCACGCACGACTCGGCCGAACAAGATGAGCGAGGGGATAGTGAGAGCGTTGTCGATGCGGAGTACGTGGTGAAACACAGAGCTGCGGGTCTGGACGCAAAGGCGATCAGGTCGTTGGTGCAGGAGTATTTGTAATAGCGCAAGAGATTGCATTGAGAGCTGATGATGTTGTGTGATTCTGGCTGGGTGTGGTTTGTGTTGAGACCGCGAGGTGTGAGTCCGATCCTGCGACCTTAGCATTGGCTGCACTGGCCCCGTTTACATCGGCTATCGCGCTCTCAGAAGAACAGCCTCATCATCTCGAAGAACACTGTTAGCAATAACAATAGATGGGGGTCAGCATCCATCCCTTTTTCTCTTCTCCTCTGTTTCCCGAGTAACTTACCTCCACCGCACACGACAAAGACGATCAACCCGAGCGCCAACTTGTTGTTGCTCAACCCGGCTCCTACGACCTTGTTCTGCGCTGCTCTGTCCTGCCTCGCAGGCCTAACGTTGGTCCTTCCCCTCTTCTGCTGCGCCTGTTTCGTTTCGCCGTCTACCTCCTCACCCTCCGCGTTCTTGGGGGTACGGATACGTGGTTTGCCAGCGTTCTCCCGCGCAGTAGCGGCAAACTGGGCGTTCTTCGCTTTGATATCCCGAGACGTAGGCTACAAACCAGAAAAGGTCAGATCAACTTTCCCTCGACAGTGCGCTCTATACCCCCAGTCCTAGACTCACCATCTTGTGTGCAATGTGGTTGTGCAATCGATGTCGTGACGATTGCCAGTAAAAGCAAGAAACAGAGAGCTGTGAAACCTGCACCATCTCCTCGCCCCCCACCCAAAATGCATTTCCCGCAACCCGCATTTTTCACTCGCCCAGTCTCGCCACACCCAAATTCCCCCTCCGGCAGCCACGTCACGCGCCAACTCCATCCCAGTACATCATAACTCTCCTGCTCAACTCAACCCACAGACTCTCTCTCTTTTTCTCTTTTACCATTGTGCATTGTGCATTGTGCTGACTGTGAAACTATTTGCAAGACTTTCCGTAAACCGTTCAATCATCCTCTTCCTCATAATACACTTCATCTGTCGAAGCAGGATACGTCTGTGCACCTTGCCTGCCCGCCTGCCGATGAAACTGCGTGCTCGGGGCACTCACACCATAGCTCCTCCTGCCCTCCGCTCCCGCACCACCGGGACTGATCCCAGCTGCTCCAATTCCCACCACACCCGTTCCGCCACCAAACGGTCGTGTCGAGCTCGATCTGAACCCTACCGGTCCAGCTGCTGCTCCCTCTCCCACTGCTAACGTCGTCGTCGTCGTCGTCACAGGCTGCTGAGCGTTCGAAGCGACTCCACGCCACGGACTGTGCGATCCTCTTCCCCTCGTGCTGGCACCTACCTCCTGTCCGAAGTTGCGCGACATTTCCGCATCTGCTCGCCTTCGTTCCGCTTCCTGTGCACGTGCGCGCTCCCATCGATCCGCAACATGCCACTCGTGCGCCCGGCCTTCCCTATGAGCACCGACAGGCAGCGTCGCTCCCATACCCCCTTCCACTCCTCCAGCCAACGCCGTGACCGCTGCGTTCGTCGGTCGCGCATCTTGCGGCATCATCTCCATCTCGCCAGGCAGCTCGTCTTGAGGGTCGTACCCTTGCTGTCCGTCCACCTTGAACATCAGATCGCCTTCTGCTTCGTAGTCTGGCGTTCGCGTCGGCTCCAACAGCTCGGTCAGAGAGGCGTGTGCCGCAACGGCGGGCGTCACTGTCGTCGACACAGCGCCTTCGACTGGGTCCGACTTGCTGGCCGACCTTTCGTTCGCTACAGTGCCATAGCCTCGCACCTGGTGGCCCGTTGCCGTACCGGACCGCATGCCCGTCTCGCCCGGCAAAGCTCGAGCAAACGTCGACGGGCTCGACACACGCCCTGGCACATTCTCAACACCTGTCTCTGCCCCTCTCGGAGTGCTCCCTCGTCCTTTGCCTAAAGTGGCCGAGATCTGAGCCGGCGTTAGTGGTCTCGAGCCGGGTCTCAGCTGCGTCGCTGGCATAGAAGCACCCGCAGAATCTCTTGCGTCGCTCGAAGCTGCTGCATCTGGTGGCGTCCCGACACTTATCGCCGGCGATGGCTCCTTCGTACCCAAAATACCGACCGACTCGGCCATACGGTTCAGCAGATCATCGAGCTGGCTGCGCGACATCGGATTAGCCGTCCGCAAGCCGCTGCCCGAACGCAATCCACTGCCAGATAATGGCGACAGTCTGTCTTGCCCGACGTTGGACTGCACCGAATCTGTCATGGCATCCGAACCTTGAGTTCGAGGTGCAGCGGCGCCTTCCTCGGGCGTACTGCTGAGTCCAGGAGCAACACGTCTCTCATTTCTCAGACTCGTCAGCTTACCCAAAGACGAGGCACCGAAGGCGGGCCGAGTCTCGAGCAGACGAATGAGATCGTCCATATCGTCGTCATGGCTCCTTGGGCTTGGGGTAAGGCCACCACTCGGCTGCATCGGCGCTGCAAAAGCAGACGTGGGTCGATACCTCGATGCAGCAGAAGCTGTAGCTGCAGCCGTTGCATCGTCGAGACTAGAAGTCCTCGCAAACGCCCCGCCGGAACCAAGACCCTGGCGTTGCTCCATCCTCGAGATCCAACTTCGGCCATAAGCTGAGCTCAGGCTTCCACCAGCTCCACCGAGGCGCGGATAGCTTGATGGTTCCGCACCTGCACCAGCGCTGAGCGAGCCCGAACCTTCGGATCCCAGACTGCTACCGTACACCCCAGCTCGTTCGCGGTTCTGGCGGTAGGAAAAGTTGGTGCTGTACCGTTTGATCATCTGCGGCTTGGCAGCCGAGGAAGAAGTGACGCTCGCTCCGGAGGCAGAGCCAGATCCTGCATCGCTGGTGCTCGAGTTCCTACGAATGCTGGAACCTCGCATGCCTGCGCCCAGATTCGAGGGAGAGTAGCTGCCGTGCGCAAAAGCGCTTGACGATGTCGCCGGAGCCCTCGCTATGGACGCCACTGACACGGTCTGAGACCTGGGCACGTACGTTTGGAATACGCTGCGAAGGCTGGGACCGGGAAGTACGCCTGTAGTCGATGTCGACGACGAGCGCAGACCTGAGCCAGACACGCTGCGGAAGGAAGCTGTCGACTGAGAGACCGTGGCAGCCAAGCCTGCACCTCCGATGGATCTGGACGCTTGTAGCGACATCTGCTGCGCCAGCGGTGAGGGAGATGAAGGGCTGAACGAGACGCTTGGTCGAGATTGCATGGACGAAGGTGGTCCCATTGCGCCAGAAGCATTCCCTGGAAACCCACTCGTGGTACGAGTGCCGATGGACCGGCCGGTCGTGCCGCTAGTATAGGCTGCTGAAATGCTTCGCGGGACACTAGTACCAGGTTCCGGGAGGTCGAAGGAAGCAAGAGCAGGCGACACAGGCGGACTTGGGCGTCCGCTGGATAGACCGCTGAGCGTCCGAAGCCGTCTCTCGCTCGTACTTGATCTGCGGACCGAGCTTGGCACCATGAAAGCAGGCTCGGCACTGAGGGCAGCAGCCAACGCTGGGCTCGAGGGCACAGCGGACGAGCTGCCGGTACCGAGGATGGACAAGTTGCTCTTGGTGGACCCGGTCCTGCGGAGGCTCGAAAGGCCTGCAGCGTGGCGTCCTGGAGCGCTTGTGCTGAAGACGCTCTGGTTGGCAGGCGAATGCGAGAGGAGAGCTTCTGAGCCGGTCGCACTGTCCGGGGAGCTCTTTTGCGCCGCGAGGATGGCCGGCCTGGCCGCTGATATACCGCCCATGCGTTGTTGGACGGCGGCCGAGGGTCGAGACGCGTTTCGCTGCTGGTCGTCGCTTCGCACAGTGGGCACGGTGGTTGCCGATGGCTGGGGCGATTTGAAGTAGTCCTCGTCGAGCTCGACCTGTATGTCGTTTGCTACGCGTAGAGCATCCGCATCTCGGACAATGTAATCGGTGCAATTGCGATATGTGACGGATAGCTCGAGATGACCGATCGGAGTGGCAACGGGAGCAAGAGTATGGACCGCATAGTGTCCATGCGATCGTACGCGACCGGTCTGCAGACCTTCCGCCTTGATCTGATCGGAGCGACTCGATGCTTCTTGGGCTGAAAATTGCCGAATGAAATCCACCTCGGACGAGTCCGAACGAGCTTGCTGCGGGTCCAGATCCATGCTGAGTCGACAGCCGATGTTCATCTCTGCATCGTGGGCGCCCACGTCGTTACGAGCAGATAGGGAAGGGAAAGAAGGTTGCGACGCATTGATCCGCCTCTGCTGCTGCGTGGCTTTGAGCTCCTCGATCTTGGCTGCCAGACGGTTGGAGGGAAGAGAGCAGAGCAGGGTGAAGAGCGTGCGAAAGTGGACGACGGAGCGCTTGTAGAAGGTTGACAGATCAGGTGGTGCCGCAGGCTGAGTTGGACCGAACCGGAGACGCCATCGCTCCAGTACGATTCGAAGTGGCCGTGACGAGGGTGACGAAGGGGCGTCTTGGCCTGGTAGATTCCGGTCGAGGTCGATACGTATGCGATGGTCGGGATCGGTCGAGGGTCCAGCCAAGAGCAGAATCTCGTGTCGATCCGAGACGCCTGAGAGGTCAAGAAGGACATCGATGATGAGATCGGGGACGGCAACTGCGGTGGCGGCACGGTCGAGATCGTAATCGTTGGTGTCGAGTCCTAACAAGGAAGTGATGGAGCGCCACAGACGAAGCTCTTCCTTGAAAAGGTCCGAGTCGGGAATGTGCAGTCCAAACCAGCGGGAGAGCTTTGCCTGCGACGATGGAGTGGAAGCCGACGTGGCAGTAGCAGCAGCAGTACCGATGTCAAACGGAGCAGTGAGGAGGAAGGAGCGCAGATGGGCGAGTCGAGACTGTATGATCAGATTGGCGGTGGTGGTGTAAAAGTGATAGAGGACGCCGTCGAGTTTGGTCAGCTGGGTCGCTACAGCAGAGGCTTGGCCCGTGGAGTCTTGACGCTGAGCGGGAGGCCTCGTCGCCGAGGAAGGTGTCGCCTCATGTTGCTGAGCAGACTCGGATGTGCCGATGGACGACGACGTTGAGGTCGGATATCGCGAATGGTTGGAAGAGAGACGGCGCTGCTGAGGATAGTCGTGCGCTTGTTGCTGCATCCAACCGGACAAGGCGGATGGGCCGACGCTGACGACAGAGACTCAGCGACGACGCCAACCGGCAAAAGTGAGGCTACAAGTGAGCAGGCAGTTCGCGCCAAGAAACATGCACCAAGCGTGCAGCTCGATGGAACGGTATTGTCCAAAGGGGATTGACGGTGCTGATGTCTGAAGACGCTCGCTCGATGCCTTGCGTTGAAGAGAGACGCTCCTTTGCACTGGATGGGGAAGAGACGCACCACAGAAGGTGTTGCACAGTGTGTAGGATGATGATAAGCCAGGGTTCAATTTTCAAGCAAGCCAGGCTCGAAAAGCACCAAGTGGAGCAACAAGCTGGCCCCGGCTCACTCGGTTAAGTCACTTTGGCGGAGTCACGGCGGTTGGCACGTCCACCACGACATCTCGCATACAATATGCACAATTTTGCGACTCGCAATCGCAGCATCGCAGATCGCTACCGCGTACGACCATCGGCGCCTCAAGCCAGAAGACCGAGAATGCCAAAGGAATTGACCGTTGGCTACTAGGCTACGGCATCGTCAGAGACACTTGTTCGCGTCCATTGTAGATGTACAGTATATGACTTTACAGCCAAGGACCATGGTAGAGGACACCAATGGCGGTCATCGTGGGCTTGTATTCTGAAATCACGTGATACGATCTGGCTGTGACGCGGAAAAGTCGTGCGGTGGGGTACTTGTAAAATTGATTAAGCGACATGACGGCTATGCTTGAATGCTGGTTGGGTCCAATTTCCAACTTGTCGAGTCGCTCGCCTTCCGAGACTCTTCCTCGCGCTCCATGCTTCATCCATCCATCCAATCAATCATCCATCCATTCTACCAACGCAACTCTCTTCGCTGAATATCGCACTTGCCAACAACCGCATCACGCACATTGCGGTCCGGATCGAATTCAAGGTGTTGCGCCGTGCGATCGCCACCTGCTGTGCAACGGCCAACACGCCAGACCCTCTAACCCCTATCAGGTCGCGAGGCGTTCATGCGGTAATTTAGCACAGATATTAGCAGAATTAGCAGAGGTGGACGCAATACCACACCATCTCATCTAACTCCTACGTACACCGCTCACTGCTTGTTTCTACCACGATGATGCATTCACGCGGATTCGTTCTTTCCGAGAACCAGGCGTTCGCTGGTCAGACCCGTACGCCTGGCCCGTCGCGCATGCACGCATCGCCTACACGCAAGAATATGACCACAGGCAAACGGACGCTGGGACAGTCGTCGAAGCTCTTTGGGCAAGAAGGCGGCTCATCGAATCCTGCACAGCTCTTTAAGGACGCTGGCCCGTCTCAATCTCCTGTCAAAGCTCTGGGCGACCGCAACGCTGCCAAGACGCCTGGTCCGTCCAGGATGGGACCGAGCAAGCAGAATGCGTCTCTTCGCAAAGGGAAAGGGGCCTCTGGGAGCAACAATGAATCGTCTCCCTCCAAGAAAGGTTCGTCCGAGCTGAGCCCTCGCAAAGCCAGCACGTCGAATGCGCTCCGCTCTCTCAACGGCAAGCAACGCCAAACCACCGATCTGCCGTTCACCAAGCCGAACCAATCCTCGAGCAACGGTGAAGATGCCCCGGCGACTGTGATGAAGACACCTGCCCCCTCGCAGCTCGGCAACGCAAGGACGATGAGCCGTCAGAACAGCTTTGTCACTCCAGCCGCCAACACGGGACGCGCAGGCCAGATCAAGGCGCGTATGGGCGAAATCATGGACGCCGAGATGGGCCTCTCGTTGCAGAAGGGGGACAAGGCCACGGAGCAGGTCACCGAGCCACCAGCGGTGCAGCTGACCGAGGAGGAAATGTACCCCGAGATCGAGTACATGCCGCCCAGCTTGCATGCAAAACACCCGGTGTTCGAGTTTCCAGATGAACTCGACGATCTACCCAGGGCAAAGGAGCTGGGTGCACAGCTGTCCAAATTCACTGCGACCGGGTTCCAGACTGCTGGGCCCGACGACCTGAGCGACGTCGAGGTCCTGCCTATGGAGCTCGGTAGCGATCAGCTTGTAGCGCCAAACGCAGCCGAAGAGAGCGAAGACGACGACCCGTGGCCAGACGTTGTAGTGGCGGAGAAGATCGACGTCAAGCCGCAGCTGCATATAATGAGCAAGGTGGTCAAGGCGGCTCCGGCTGCGCCGCGTGCTGCAATGGCAGCTCGACCTTTGGCAGTGGGAACTGGCCGCACTGCCGCCAGCGCACTGAGCGCACGCACTTCCACCGTTCAGCGAGCGAACGGCGTCGCTGGCAGCAAGCCATCTGCAGGCGCGGGCACGCGCATCGTGCAAAGCAAAACAGCGAGCCAGCCAGTCGCACGATCCACGGGTCTGCAGCGATCCATCGCAACCGCACCGGGCAGTCGAGCATTGTCGTCGACAGCTGCTACCGCAACGCGGACTGCCACTACAGCCAGGCCTCCCCCTTCCGCTGCGGCGAACCGTGCCGTCGGTGCTGGCACTACGAACAGAACCGGTGCGACTCAAGGCGACACCGCAAAGGGGCAACTCGAGGCTCAGCCGGCTGGACAGCCTTTGGCTCGGAAGAAAGCCGCGACGACATTGAACCCCAAGTTGGTCGACTTCGTCAATGATGATCTAGGCAAGCAGACGGCAGCAGCGCTCGACCGCTTGGATGCAGACGACGACCTCGAATCACTCCAGCTGGATCTGGGCGAGGCTCCTGAGCAAGACGTGTAGAGTGTCTGCTACCCCGATATACCATTACGCACCATATTTGCATACAATATTCATCTCTTCGTATTCAGTTCGTGCAGCATTTTGCATCACCCAACTACCTCAGCAGCCACGCAATACGGTACACTGCGTATCTTGTCTTTCCTTTTCATTTGGATACATTCGCCTCGAAGCGGTGATGACGCAGATGTGTGTGATTGACATGTGGCGACAAAGGATACAAGTGGAACCTGCGTTGATTGATGTGACATCGCTGCGCCATGCTTTGGCCAACGCCAAGAAGGGGTGCACTCGCTTCGAGGGAAGGATTGATCCGCCTCGCCCCACACGCGTGCACGGCTCTCCTTTCTCAATTTTCTTTTTCTCTTTGGATTCGGTGTTAGTTGGAAGCCCGCGAGCGTGTCTTTGGTGTGTGCCTTCAAGCTTTGTGTGTGTGGTCGTGCGTGAGGGTTCAGCAAACAGAGGCCGTAGGGAAGCCAGCTGAACCGCCAGCCAGCCAGTCGACCCGGCACGTCTCGACTTGACTTGACTTGACTCGCCTCGCCGCGACTCGAAACGTACGCACACACCGCACACACAATTTTGGAAATTGCTCCGACCGCAGCTGCACGACACAGGCACGACGGCCCGGGCGCTGCTGTCTCTCTGTCGCCCAGCCTCAAGCTGAGTGCAGGTCTCACTTTCGCTCGAGCTCTCTCTCCGCGTGTCGCTATCACTCTTTCACCTTCTCTACTCTTGACACCCACATCTCTTCGCTGCCTTCAGCTTCCATCGCATTGCCTTGGCTTTTCCCCGCGGCGTCACAGCATCAACACCGCCACCCAGCTTGTTGTCGCATTGTCCCTTGCGGCCACAACGGGGCAGAGCTCAGCGTCGCAGCAGCAGCAACGACAACAACAACAACAACAAAAAGGAGCTCAGACACTGGCGTCAGGTCGTTGCGGCACTCCTGATCAGCTCAATCCCTCGGCTCTTAAAGAGCCTGACTACTCTGACGAGGTGATCTCGTTCTGGTTCCCTTGCGTCTTGCGTCCAGGAGAGCCACTTGAAAGCAGAGGGAGCGCTCAAAGCTCAACTCAGCTTCGCCCTCTCAGCTCGTCTGGTGGACATCACCGGCCTCGACGACTCATCCTCAACTTCATCCATCAGAGCCGGTACTTGCTGCAACCACCATCGATCCACGGATGACGTTCGGCCTTAGCACAATCCACGGCGTCTGATTCGCCCCAGCAGGCTAGAGCTCCTTCCTTTCGCGATTGGACCGGCCATCCACCACCCCCGATAGCAGACAGCTTGTCTTTGGACCGCGATACAAGACTCACACAGCTGGCGAGACCAGTCGAACGTCCGTGCTGTGCACCATGTCGAGGCATTCGGGCGCCTTCTTTGGCGACGACGTAAATTCGCTTCCACTCCACAACGACCCTCACGTTGGCATCAACATGTCGGGCCTCGATGCGATCAACGCCCAGCATTCGGCAATGGCTCCTAACAATCCCTATCCGCCCAGTCCTTCTTCCGTTCGCTCTCCTCACTCTTCCCACGGCCATACCTCTTCTTCGACCAAGTACACACAGGGCGCCAGCTCGAGCTCGAACGCAGCCACCGCCAACTACACTTCGCCGCGTCTCCATCACTCACAAGCAGCCGCATTTGGCCTCACAGATTCTGCCGGCTCGTCGTCAGAACGCTACTCTTTCGACAATCAGCAACAGCAGCAACAGCAACAGCAACAACACCACCACCTCTCGTCGCAAGCAGCCTACCGCAATGAAGGCCTCGGACGCTCGCTCTCTATGGGTCACGGCTCACATCCAAGTCAGTCGCGATCCGCTTCCCACACTTCGGCCACCGGTTCAGCCATGTACCTTTCTCCACAGACGGGCGCCGCACAAGCATCTGGCTCCAGCTCTTCATCGGGTCACGCAACCAATGGTGGCACTGCAAACTATCTGTCTTCACTCTCACCATCAGGCATGCGCCATAGCAGCTTTATCAGCGGTGGAGCAGGTGGCAGCGGCAGCGCCGTCGCATCCAATTTGTCGCCTCAAAGCTCCTACAGCGGTCTTCCCAACCTCTCGTCTGGCTCTGCGCATCCTGCCAGCCTCTTGCCCGCTCCACAGATGCTCTCCAGCCCATACAGCAATCACAGCAGTCGCCGCTCCTCGAATGCCATGGACACCTCGGGCTCCTCAATACGTGACCCAGCCTCTGGTAATCCGTACAGCCCCAACACGTCTCAATCCAGCCGTTTCAGCAATAACAACGCCGCATCCTCTGGCGCCTCGGCATCCAGAGCTGGTGGCCACGATCCGTCCAGCTTCATGGATGTTGGCTCTCCGCGCGACCCCGCCCGATCGCCACGTCAGCTCACCCAGCGCACCTCTCAGCAGCAGCTCTCACATCAGTACGCCGGCTCTGGCAGTGCAGGCCTTGGCGACCTCTCGGACGGTCTGCCATACGCCTACCACTCGAATCAGGCCCACGGCCAGCAGACCAATTCAGCCCAGTACCTCTCTTCTGGAGGACGACCATCCGGCGGCGCGTATGCATCCTCGTCTCAGGCGGCCGGAAGTCTCTGGCCATCCGGCGATGCTGCGTCAGGCCGCGGCAGCATGATACTCGACCCATCGTCGCGCGACAGGTCGAGTGACAGCACCGCTCGCAACTCAGTCCTCTACAGCGACAGCGCTTCTTTTGCGCAGCACGGTTTGGGAATCGGCTCCACCGGTTCCATGACCACCGCCTCGGACAATTCGAGAACGAGCTCGGCGCGTCGCGATGCTGGCTCGTCGACGCGGCCTTCGCGTCGCAGCGAGGGATTCCGTCGAGTGCGCGACTTTGACGATCTGCGACCTGTCATCGACAAGAGTACCGCGGCGGCTTCGGGAGCAGCCGCCATCTCGGACGGCAAGGCGGCCACGGCAGCGGCGCGCGCAACTTCGCGGCGAGCGGATCCAGCAGGTGGCTTCGTAAGTCCGCTCAAGGCGTTGACCGCCTACCTGCACCACACCTATCATCTCGTCAACCCCGCCTTCTTCTACGAGCTCAGCTTCAACCCTCGACGTGTGCTCACCAAGCCTAGCAAGCCTGTCCAGAACGAGGGCAGGGACAACGAGGAGAGCGACTACATCCTCTACGTCAACGACTGGTTGGGGACCGAAGAGGGCCACAAGTATCTCATCCTCGACATCTTAGGCCAAGGCACCTTCGGCCAGGTGGTTAAATGCCAGGACATGACCACGCACGAGATCGTCGCTGTCAAGGTCATCAAAAACAAGCCTGCATACTTCAACCAGAGCATGATGGAGGTTACTGTGCTTGAGATGCTTAACGGCAACTGGGATCCTAACGACGAGCACCACATCTTGCGGCTCAAAGATACTTTTATCCACGCAAAGCATCTGTGCTTGGTGCTCGAGCTGCTCTCGTCCAACCTGTACGAGCTCATCAAGCAAAACTCGTTCCAGGGGCTCAGCACGAGTCTGGTCAGGGTTTTCACCGCGCAGCTGCTGGATGCACTGACCGTGCTCAACGAAGCTCGCCTGATCCATTGCGATCTCAAGCCGGAAAACATCCTGCTCAAGACGCTGCAGACGCCTTCCATCAAGCTCGTCGATTTTGGCTCGGCCTGTCACGAAAAGCAGACCGTGTACACGTACATTCAGTCGCGCTTCTACCGATCGCCAGAGGTGTTGCTAGGTCTGCCTTATAGCTCGGCCATCGACATGTGGTCACTGGGCTGCATTGCCGTCGAGCTCTTCCTCGGTCTTCCGCTGTTCCCCGGAACGAGCGAGTACAACCAGATCTGTCGAATCGTCGAGATGCTTGGTCTGCCGCCGCAGTGGATGCTGGACAACGGTAAGCAGACGCAAGAGTTCTTCAGCGTCTATACGGATGAATTTGGTCGCAAGAGCTACCGGCTCAAGTCGCTCGAGCAATACTCAAAGGAACACAACGCGCAGGAGATACCCTCAAAGAAGTACTTTAAAGCGACGACGCTGCCGGATATCGTCAAGACGTATCCGATGTCTCGGAAGAGCGGCAAGTCGGCCGATGTGCAGAAGGAGATGGCGAATCGTAGCAGCTTCATCGACTTTGTCACGGGTCTGCTCAACATGAACCCGCACGAGCGCTGGACGCCACAGCAGGCCAAGCTGCACCCTTTCATCACGGGAGAGAAGTTCGTCAAGCCTTTCCGACCGCCTCTTGTGCCCACGGATGCTTCGATAACGGGCGCCTCGTCGTCGTCATCCCGACCAAAGACGTCGGATGCATCCAAGCATCCGTATGGAGGGCTCGTGCAGCAAAGCAGCTCGTCTCGACCCTCGAACAAAACGTTCCAGGATGCGGCAGCTTACAATCAGCACTTGGCGCAGCAGCAGGCGTACCTGTCGGCAGCGGCGCGACAGCAGGCACAGCCGGCGCTCAACAATCCCTACGCTCGAGAAGAGGCGGCCAACGCACAGGCAGCGGCTGAAGCCAAGGCGGTGGCTAAAGCGCAAGCTGCACAGATGGCGCAGATGCAGCAACAGCAGCAGCAGTACAATGCGCGACATTCGATGGCTGTGGCACCTTCGAACTACTACGGCGGTGGCGACGATGGCAGCGGGCAGCGACGGGCGGATAATCGGTTGAGTATGATTCCGCCGCAGCTGGCGAAGCTGGGCCTGGACCCGAGTTTGGCTGCGGGCCAGAACATGGCGGGGTTGGTGAACAGGGACGATCCGCTTCGCGAGTGGGAGCGAAGGCAGAATGGACTGGCGCCCTCGTCTGCGGCCAACATGAGCAGCAGCAGCAAGAAGCGGCAGAGCGCCAACTATCAGCAGCTGGATCTTTTGCAGCAGCAGGCAGAGATGGGCGGAGGCTGGGCGGGAGTGGGAAGCGGTGCTAGTAGTGGTAGTGCAGCGTGGGACCAGGCGATGATCGGCAAGGGTGGAGCGGGTGGCTCGGGAAGCTTTTCGGTGGTTGTGGATGGATCTCAGAACAGGATGGGTAAGGGAAGTGGTGGTGGGGGGATTGCGGCGCCGCCTGCTGCGTATTCGTCTGGGTCGGGCGGTGGATCGGGCGGCATGGGACGGTATCAGACGTCGCCCGGTCTTGGGTACGGTGTGAATGGGGCGACGAGCATGTCTGCTTCTCACAGCAGTGGTGGTGGAAGTGGCGGTTCTGCCAACGCGTCCACTTTGCCTTTTGACATTTACGATGCGGGTATGGCGAACCTGCTTCCGCCGTCACTGACACCTGTTCGGATCCAAGATCGAGACCAGCACTTGCAACAACAGCAGCAAGCAGCGCAGCAACAGGCGCAGCAACAACAGGCGTATCTGCAGTACGCCGCGATGCAGGCAAGGGAAAAGCAACATTCACAACAGTCTCGTAGAGATGCCAGTCTCGGCACTGGAGGAGCAGCGTTTGGAGGTATGTAAAATTTCTTTCTCTTTTTGCAATTTTATGTTTGGGAGGAAGAAGATGAGTGTAGTGTGAGTTGGAGTGTGTCTCGAAGGGCTTTTTCTAGGAGGAGGAGGGCGTGGGAGTCCTGTTGTGAAGAGATGGATCCAGGGGCGGGTGTGAGGGTGGGGGGTAGGGAGAGGGAGAGCAGGAGATGGGGGAGGGAGAGCTTGGCGGAGAGACGTTTGGATATCGAGGTTGCGAGGGAGGAGGTTGATGCTGATGTGGTTGAGGTTAGGATTTCGATCGACGTTGAGGTGTGGTGTGTGGGGTTGATGGCGAGGGCGAAGTCTGTGGCGAGCGAGGTGGAGTGCATGCTGGTGGAGGAGGTGGAGGTGCGACCGGCGGCTGCGAGTGCCGCTTCGAGCTCGGCGTCTTCGGCAGTGAGCGAGTCAGCTTCGGGATTGGGAGTTGAGGCGGAGAGCAAGGATCGTGCGAGCGTGGGAGTCAGGTGGCTGCAGTGTACGAAGAAGCTCGATTGTCCGGATGCGGTTCGAAGGTGGACGATCTGGGTGAGGAAATGCGTGTATTGCGGGTGCGGGATGGTGAGGATGTGGTTGGTGATCAGTTGGGTGCCGGTGTGTGCGGCTGCTGATTGAGCTGAGGAAGCGTCTGATGGTTGCGCTGTGTCGGTCATGGTGCTTCGTTGTGGTTCGGGAATGAAGAGAATGAGGCAGAGAAGAATCGATGATGGGGTGGTGTTGGTTGTCGTGTTGGACGAAGCGCAAGTGATGAAGAAGAACACACATTCGCGGCCTCTTGCTCGGCCAATCCCAGAATGTTAGAGCCTGAGCTCTCTTATGCCTGGCCCAAGAAGTGGGTGCAATGTTTGATCGAACGGCATCATCACGTGATGCTAAGCGAAAAAGAGCGGCATCGGAAGAAAACGACTTCAACTCGCTCCTCAACGACTTTCACCACCTCCATTCAACTACGACCTACCATCCTCCCCTTTCATCAGAACCGTCGCTCAAGATGGCGCTGACACCCGGCACCATCGCCACCTCGTCCAAACGAGCCCTCACTTCCACCTTGCGAACACTCTCGCTCACCAATACAGTCCGATTCGCATCCACTTCCACCTCCTCTTCCTCCTCCTCCTCGTCATACCAACAATCCCGCATCCCTCGTCTACCGCCCATCGCACCCCTTCCAGCACGCACCAAACCCACCTCTCCGTCATACTACACCGGACGTCCCGCGTACATTGACACGCTCCTGGAACTCGAGGAACTCACACGTCAGACCAAACGCCTGCTCGAACAGTCACACCTGCTACCACCCAACTCGTCCGCACCTACGCTCACCAGTGCACGTCAAAACCTGTGGGCGTCGATCGGAGACCTCCAGACCATCCTGGGTACGAACCTCAAAGCTGCACAGTATCGACAGATCGTTTCCCGCCTCAGTTTGCTCGCGCGCTATGCGACACTGGTGAAGCAGTTCGAGTCGAACCCGGCGCTAGCCGGCGGAAGCGAAATGGTGGACAAATTCCACACGACCTTGGAACGCTTCATGAATGAGAATGCCAAGAGCCAAAATCTGTTGGCTGAAAAGGATTCGGACAGAGCACTGTGGTTGGCTAGCGAGAAGAAGATCGATGGCAAAGGAAGAGCCTACTCCATGGGTCGGAGGAAAGAGTCTTCCGCGCAAGTATGGATCGTCCGTACCAAGTCATCTGTCGGTTCGATCCTGATCAACAACCAACCCATCCAAGAGTACTTCACCCGAACCGCCGAGCGCGAAGCCATCACCTGGCCGCTCAAACTCTCCTCGACCCTCGGAGCGTACAACGTCTTCGCACTCTGCCGCGGCGGTGGCAAGTCCGGTCAAGCAGGTGCCGTCGCCCACGCTCTCGCCAACGCCATCGTCGCAGAAACCGGCTCCAGCCTCGGCATGGAACACGGTCTGCCCGTCAAAAAGTACGTCAGGGACGTGCTCGCAAAGGACGGAGTGCTCAAGAGAGATCCCAGGATGGTCGAGAGGAAAAAGACCGGCATGCTCAAGGCTAGAAAGGCCTTCACCTGGGTCAAGCGTTAAGAACAAGGCCACAGATGCAGAAAATTTTCACAAAGCACAAGGAACAGAGCAGCCGTCGTTGCAGCATGTGGCCGTGTATGCGAGATTGTGCGAGTGGAGATCGTGTGTTAACCATCCAACGTCAAGCACTTGCCGAGTCTCACCCGACGCTAAACATTCCCCGACTCAGCACGCCACTCCGCCTCCTCCGTCGATCACTCATCTCTTTATATCAAACCACATCCACACTCAAGCAAACGTGCAAACATCTAATAACATTCAAACAGACCATGACAAGGGTAGTACATGAGGACCAAATGCCATTACAAGATAAGCAAGGGAACGGGTAAGAGCGTCGTGTATGCTACGCTACGATCCATCTGCCTCGAGCAGATCGCAGATCGAGAGGAGTGAGGTGGAGGAAAACGGGGGCAGCAGAATGACATTTCGTGTGTAGACAGAGCTGCTTATTCGAAGAAAGGGGGACTAACGAGAGTGAGGTTGATGTGTGAGAAAGAGAGAGTTGAAAGACCTTGACTAAGAAACCTTGGGGGCAATGGAAATGGGCGGTGTGGTTGTGGTGGCTCAGACGGACTGCTTCTCACTCCAAAGAAAAGTGATTGGGCCACGCCTTTCGTGTCGACTCGTGCGAAGCTGCCGCACCGCCAGACCCTCCGGTAAGAAATCCAGCTGCACCGCCAGAGGCCGTTGCGCCGGGTCCTCCTGTAGTGCTTCCAGAACTGTGCTGATGATCAGGCAACGCCGGCCAGTCCTGCAAGTCGTGCTCAGATCGTCGAAACGGCATCGAGCTAGGCACATGACGCGGATCTTGCAAGTATTGATAGCCATGCAGCGATGAAGCTGGGCTGTTGAGCAGAGACGCAGACTGGGCTGGCTCGCTGATGCCCGAGGCAGTGGATGCGCCAAAAGCCGACACTTCGCTGGAAGGATGCGCTACTCCAGCGTCGTTCATTCCGGACGAATGCAGTCCAGCAGGCAGGAAGGACAAGTCGCTCAAGCCCGAGTACGAATGCGAAACCGTGTGTCGCCTCGGCATACCTGCTCCTCCTGCGCCGCCACCGTACAGCTGGCCAGCGTGTGACGATTGCCCCTGCGAAGGCACCTGCGCATATCGCGCCGCGTCTTGACCCCCGTAGTCAGCACCAGAGCTGGTGCCAGGGGGCGTAAGCACGGCGCTGTTGAGAGTCGCAAAGGCAGATGCGATCAGCCTGTCGTCCGCGGCCATGCCAGAGTGGCCCAAGCCGCTGCTCTCCGAAGATGCATGGGGCGAGTTGTCGTACTGCGATGCGTCTGAAGAAGAATGTGTGCGGAAGGACGAAGACGACGCCTCAGCCTCGTGCCCTTCAGATCGCGCCTTGCCTCTGGCTTCTGCAGCATACTCGGCGCTCAGGCCGGCGCTGAGCTGCAATCTGCCCGCTTTTTCGTCTTCAAGCAACAACTTGACCTTGACAGCTTCACGATCGTTGGACGTGCCGAAGCCGCAGTAGTGGAAGCGAGTCTTTCCGCGTCCTCCGAGACGGCGTTGTGCAACATCAGGAAATTGGCTTCGAAGCACCTTGCCGAAAGAAGCTGCCTGCAGAGGCTCGAGACCGAACGAGTCGCAAGCGCGGCGATAAGACTCGTGCAAAATGGTGCGTGGTATCGAGATCTGGATGGACGGCTTGAGCGTGTAGTTGCAAGTCAACCACATCCGTGCCCACTTGTCGCGGTAAAATTCTGCCATCTTCTTGGTGTTTGCCGTCTTGTACAGACTCGAGACCTGATTGAGCATGCTGTCGATCTCCTCGGGCTGATAGTCTGGCTGCGGCGCCGACATGTATGCGTTGGTTCCGCCCAGCTTGGAGGTCGAGGCTCCGTACATGGGGTACGAGTGTGTGTTCATGTGAGAAGCGTAGCCGGAATGATCAAAGTGATCGCTCGACAAGTCGTAGTACGTCTGCGAGCGGTTCGGACTGGCATTGGTCGAAGATGACGATTCGTAAATGACGCTCTGCGACATCGACGTTCCGGTCTGTGACGCCCACGAGCCTGAGCTCGTTTGACTTGGATATGCGTAGCGGCTGTAGCCCATAGAGTCGGGCTGCTGCGGCAATGTGCTCGGCCAGGCCGCCGAGGCGACAGGCGCAAAAGAGTGCTGCGCGCCAACCATTGCGCCGGCGTTGCTATTGCTGCTGTTTCCGAAATGCGCCGCACGAGGAGTGTCGGCAGGCATCAAGGCTTGAACGTTGTGACCAAAACCATCCGTGGCGCCTACTGTGCTGAATTGCACGCCGGCGTCGATCTGATCTCGTGGGAAGGAAGTCTGACGAGGTGTGATGACATTCGCGCCAAGATAGAGATTCTGCGCGCTATCCGATACGGACTGGTGTTGCGAAGCTTGTACAGGTTCCGGGCGATGTTGCGACGATGACGTGGAAACCGGCGGCATATGAGCAAATAAGTCTGGTCGGGCGTGCTCCATGGTCGAGGGCCTCGGCTGCTCCCACGAGCTGTCGGCTGTGCCCGGACGATATGGCGAGTCCGAAGAGCCCGCTTGACCTGTATAGTAAGGCATCGACATGATGACCCGAAAGCTTTGATGTGAGAAAGGGACGTGTGTTTGCACCCGCGGAAAGGAGCTCTGCTTTATCGGATATGAGCTCGATCGTCGCGGCCTTGCCCTCGGACACAGTCTTCCAGAGGCGTCGGCGAGAAAGGCACAAGATGCTGAGCAATCGGCTGGAAGGGCAAGGATCTCAAACCGGCAAGGCTTGCTTCCGAGGGACCGGGCCGGGTCTCAGGGACAGCACCGGAGGGCGCTTTTCCTCGAGGAGGTCGAACGATGCCGCCGGGTGAGTGATCTTGGTGCTTTGATCACGGGTGTCGTGAGTGACTGACAGACGGGCGCTTCGATCGGAAGTTACGGTCTGCAGAGATGATCGGATGGACAACAAGGAAGGAAGAATAAGATCAAAGACGTCAGTCAACCCGAAGACGTGCAAAGCAAACAAGGCTAGTAAGGTGAGGCGACCGAGCCTGGGAAGGGAAATCGTGTGCCTCGAGCTTGTCCTTCAGCAGAGTCGGCGCCGTAGACGACAACAGTCAGTTTCTGCCGTCGAGACGATTCCTGTCAATCAGCATCGACCTGCCAATCTACGAGGATCGCTGTCGAAGAGTGCAGCTGGCACGAGCGGAAACTTGTGTGGACAAAGCGCTACGGTTGCTACAGATGTACGGAAGAGCATCAATGGGGTTTTTCCCCCCGAATTGATCCGATCTGCCCTGTGTGGCGAAAATGTCGAGGCCGCAGTGACGACGGTTGAATGTCTGTGGGGTCTGCCAAGCCTGAAGGACGATGCGGAGAGAAGACCTCGGTGGGGGCCGCGAAGCTCAAAGTCGCAAAGTACCTGACGGCGACCTGCAGGGCGGGAAGCCAGAGCCAAGATTGAGATGAATGATGATAGGCTCTCGAAGCATCGTCTTCTCTAAGCAGCTGCGAACTGACGGTCAACAATCCGATGGCGAGCAGAACCTTGCCAAACCATCTCGTACACCACTTTGACCAGTACGAAACCAAACAAGAAGCAAGCAAGCAAGGAATTCGCGGTGACCACGTACCATTGCCTCGGAATTGGCCGGCGGCGACCCTCAGTAGGACGCGCTGGCTGGAACATTCCTTGTTCGAGCTTCTCGTCGAAGCTGCTGGTTGCCTGAAACGGTTGCAGTCGATGGCGAGCTTGCCCTGTCGCTGCCCAGCAGCCTCAGAGTCTTAAGCTCGGATGGCTTTGATGAGGTCACCGAGACTAGTGGCAACCCGATACGGCGCGGAGGGACATGAGAGCGATGAGGGTTCATAGCCATCTATAGGCATGTGCAGGGCAGCGAAGATCGGGCAGGAGAGATGGCGCGCAACGAGTTGAGCATCGCGTCCGATCTCGAATTGACCGAGACTGTCAAGAGCCATAGCAAGGTCGCAAGGTAGAGCATCGCAGTCACCTGTCTTTCCTACCGCCGTGTTGAATCCGAAAACAGCGGGAGAGATGAGACGCCGTGACGACGCCACTGCGACCCAGCCGACATCGACAGGCGAAGAAAAAAAAGAGAGGGAGAAACCAATTATGGATTTTTTCCTGCCAATTTCTTTTCCGCCATTTCGAGCGGCATGCATGGCAGAAGGCCTTTGAGACGCGAGGGACCCTTTGCGCTCAAGCGAGGCAGAAATCAACCAACAGTCTCCTCTTGCGGTCCTTCCTGACTGCAGGCTGCCTGCAGCCTCCAAGCTTCAGGGCAATCGTCAAAGCTCGGATGATCCGATGATGTTGCTCGCAACATCAGCAAGAATGTCGGCACCATCAGGCTGAAGCGTAGCGCAGTATCTTTGCTGTGCCAAGCACCGGTCAGAGCAAGCGCGCAGCGTGTGCCACCTCCTACGTAGCCAAACGTAGTCTCTACACGACGATTGTGCCATCTGAAGTTAGGCAAGGATGCTGAGCGGCCCGTGACATGGCAGCCGTCCTACTTTGGATGTAGCAGATGATGATGAAGGGCATTCGCATCATAATCACCAGCTTAGCCCCGCGAAACGATTGCATGCCAGACAGCAGCACGTCTGTATCACCCGATGCCAGCGATCAACTCGGTCCAGACAAGCAACGGAAAGGATGTCGAAAGCCTGAGCAATGGCCCGTCGCATCAGCAACACAGTTCTTGTGCTGATCTTCGGGACCAGTGGCAGCGGAGATGACCGAGCCAAACTTTGGCAACAGCGGAATCGACCGAGCTCCGAGAGCGTATCTGGAGTAGAGCGTGTAACTCTTGGCGTCGAGCTCCCATCTCGGCCCATCCGTGAAGGGCCACTCTGCGCTAATCCCTTATTGAAGGATCTAAATCGGAACAAGCTCGGGCACAGATGCAGACGGTCATTGTGTTGAATCTAACTTACCCGTGAAGGTCCAAGTGAAACGAGCCTTGGTCCGAGACTTCGAGGGCGGCGCGGTCCGCGGGAAAAGCGTGGCTGCTCAGTCACAGATGGCGAGGCGGAGGCCGGCGTGAGCAGCGCACGATCTTGACGAGGAGACTATATCCCAAAGGCGACAAGGGATGCAAGAACTTGGTAAGTCTTCTGTTCCGAACTTCAGAGAGAGAAGCGAGCACGAGCACGAGCCAGCGACCAGCAGGTCGAGTTGTGGGCGTGTGAGAATGTGCCAGAGAGCGTGTGTACATCGGGCAGGCGGAGCGGCGGAACGGTTGCAAGAAAAGCGACGACAGCGCTTCTCCTCCCTTCTTTGCCTGCCGTCGTTCTTGCTCTTGTTCGCAAGGCCGTTTGATCTGAACGGACCAATGCGCAGCTGTCGGCGATCATGCTGACATGCAGAGATATGGAACCGGAGAAAAACCAATGTCGCCACCTTCTCGGTGATTTCCGCGGGATGCACTCATAAAGCAAGCGATCGATCGAGAGGGACGAGCAGTAGCAATGCCAGGAGCCTGTCCAGCCACGGACAGGCGAGGCTCCACTTCATAACGTCGAGAGGCGCGGACGCACCTCGCTTCATTTCGTTCGGGTCGCGTTGCCTCCCTTCATCCCCATGTCTGGCTGTGCTTGGGCAAACTCGGCACGATGAGCCACTGCGCTGCGACCTGGTCGAACTTACCTTGTCAAGTGGGACGAACACCGAAAGTCGGTGGAGAGGAAAGTGGGAAAGGCAGCTCGGTGCTTCCCATCCGATCGCTTCCGGCTCGCACGGTGGGTGGCGCAAGCGAGGGCGCAGAGGTGGGCTTGTGCCAGCTACTGTTCTGACAGCCACCTACCGCGTCGGCTGCAGAGATGAGTGGCTGCGACTAAAGCTGTTCACGGAAACTGCTGGCGCTGATGCACGGGAGGATGTCGGCGCGATGGATGAAGCGAATGCTGGATCGGTGGGTGGTGAAATAGGGTTAGAGGCAGCCTGCAGGTGATGGACCCCGAGTAGCGTGGGCTCGTCCGGACCGCCGCGAACTGTGACGCCGTTGATGAACGCAAGCTCTGCCGTGCTTGCTGTTGGTGGGAGGAAAGAGATCTTGAAGACGTCCCTCGGCTGGATGTTCGGAAAACAGACTGCGTTTGCAGACGAGAGATGCAACGAAGAGCAGACAAATGGGAGCAACCCTAGCCGATCAAGTAGGCAAGTTGGACGGATCGCGCTAACGTCGGATCTCTGCCGGCACGCGCAGAGTGAACAAGATGAAACGATGCTAGCGCTTGGTGGCGTTTGGTGGAGGTGGTGGAGGTCGGCCGTCAAGGCAGTTTCATAAGTGGCTGTCGGGGGAGCAACCAAGGATGGAGACGAGTGAAGATACGTGCAACGTTCAGGACAGGGTCGGTAACGGCTGCGGCGTAGAGCAAGGGGATGGAGCAAAACGAGGGAGACGGTGAAGAGGAAGCAGCGAAAGGGATCATCGAGACGGACATCGACCGGATCGGTGCCAGTTTTAAGCAAAGAGGAAAGGATGATGGACGATCTGGTGAACGAACCAAGAGGAGACCGAGCAAGGCCGTCCGTACAGCACCGAAAGGGGACGGGCCGAGAGGAACCCCTTCCGAAGATCTGGTCACTCACGGTGGAGGTGTGTAGCGTGGCAAAAGCAGCTGGCCAAACAAGCCACGGTTTCAGGCGCCCCTTCCGATCGACCGGCTTGTCCGTCCCCTCTGTCCGGACGCCGGGCATACATACATTCAATGGCAGTAGAGCAAGCAGCTGGGCTGCGACGAGCATGACAGCAATCGTCAACAACCATCTACAGGTCGAAGGAATGGGAATATAGCTATAGCGAACGGTCCATTCCCCGACGCATCACGGCGCAGAATCAGAGGAGGTGGAAGGTGGCACTCCTCGGAGAGGCAACTCAGCTCAGCCCAGCCGTAGCCATGCTTTTGGTCGGGAACAGCCCTGCACGGCTAGCATGGATGTGCAAACCTTTTCTGCTCCTCCTCCTCCTTCTCTTCTCGCGAGCTGCGGGCCATACACGGCGAAAGTGGCAGCAGCAAGGAGGAGAGCAAGTGAGGCGAGCGAAAATCTGGATTCGGCCAGCAGAGACCCAGATTGTGCAAACCCGACCCTTGCCAAAGTACGGGATATACCGCATAGGATTGGAGGATGTCGTCTGTATTCGATCGAGAGGCCAGAAGCCGAGAATACACTGTCCGTGGCAGGCTGGCCCCGAGCGTCAGAAGCCAACGGCGCAAGGCTCATTCGGAAGAAGGGGTCCAACTGCGCAGTTCCTCATGCGCTGGACGAGAAATTGCGAGTGAGACCAGTCCTCGTGCACGGGTTCGCGCCCGTTGTCGCTACGGAAGGCTGACCTCGCTCGCTGGCCCAGGGAGCGAGGCGCACGCACTGTGAACCTCGGCTGCAGCGCGTGGCAGTGACATTGTGTCGCCGTGACAGGCCGCTTGCTTTGTTTTGGATCTTTTAGCTTTATTGAAGCTTTAAATAAAAAAAATAATACCCTCGTTTTTGCTTCTTCATCCGAAATACAAATTGCGAAGCGCAGCAGCCTATCCGAGGATAAATCGGTGCTAGAGCACAGCACAGCCATACGTGCTATTAACCTTTTTTTTTCCTGAAGACAGAGAAAAAATTGCCGCAGTTCAGGTACAGCTTCCGCGACCTCTATGCCTCAGAACGTCCACAGTGATAGGCCTCTTTTCTTCTGCCGTGAACGACCACTGATTGTCTGTGGTTTGATGGTCACAGAGGAATCCAGGAGAGAGACGGCCGTCAAGAGCATCGAGATGCTTAGAAATTTTGGAGGCAGCTGACGTCCGGACGAGCGCCACTCGAAACCCTGCATGCATGCATGGACAGTACCGCTGTACAACCCTAACCAACATTTTGGGCGTAAAAAAGAACGGTCGGAAGAGCCGACCATTACGGCACATCAACTTTGCTGCGACAACGCCGCCGACGCCGCCGCCGCGCTCTTATTTTGGCGTATGGCTCATGCGGCTAGGCTGAAGACGGAGGAGCATTTACAAACAACCAACCTCTACCTTGCTGGCTCGGGGCTGATGCAAGGCGTTTTCCTCTTGACCCAAGGATCGACGGCGCATCTTTGTTGCGATCAGAGTGCCGACCAAAGTAGCATCAAATTGCTCCTGCGCTTGTGGGAGTCAATCGGGGGACCAGCAGGATGGCACCAAAACCTTGTTTATCAGCACCTCGTCAATCGCCCAGCCAACGGCGACCATGAAAGCTCGATTGGCCGGTCAAGTCACCAGCTGTTGCTCATCGCTTCAGACCAGACGGCTTCTGACCGCGAGCCAGACCTCCAGCGTCGAATGGCGTTCATAACGTGCAGCCTCTCCAAGAAAATCGGAAGGCGATGTTTGAATTGATTTCGCGCTGATCAGGCTTCCACAGGGGTCTCGGTCAGGCGAAACCCAATGCCACCCGTGCTTTGCTTCTTTCGTCCACATTTCACCTTTGGGGTAAAATAGCGTGGGAAGTGTCAGAGCCGCAATGTGCCAAAGCGGTGTTGCCCGAAGCGAAGCCATGAGGCTCGCCTGTACCTCTTCGCTTGTCACGGATGTCGAAAAAGGTACACACATGGTGTACCAGCCTAGCTGACGGCGAATAGGGAGGGGAGGAAAACAAAAGGCCGCATTCATGCAGCAGTGCCTCGCTAAACGCGGCATCAAATTCTGGGGTCCTTCGCTGCAAAATCAAAAGGCCGAGCTCAATCGGCACACATCAGGCCGAGCCCACACGCTTTCAGCCACGCACCGTCCACAACAGCTCGGACGTCGATCAGATGGAATCAAACGCCGTGCTCAAAGCAAGGGAAAATCTGCGACGATACCGTCATGTGAGCACGTTGCAAAGTCGCCGTGGTCTCAGGTATGAAACCGATCTTTTAGTGCATGTCCGCCATGCCTTGACTCCGCGATTCTGGAAATACTAGTCGCGACCAAACGTGCTTCGCCCTCATGAAGTCCTTGCAACAGCTTCACGCTGCATCATGTTTGAGTGAGCATGCGACGATCTTCGCTGCTGGACTCGTTGCGATGCACGCCCTAACAAGCCGAGCTCGGGTCAACGAGGCTGCCAAAACGGTCCTTTCTGTCGATGGCTGCATCGTCGATCGTGATCTGCTTCTTTCCTACACCGTCGAGCTTCCTCTCAACCACTTCTCTGCGTGCTGACAAGCTGCGAACTTGGGCAGACGCGGTCCTTGCGCTGCCTTAGCCGAATATGTACGCCCGCGACGCCGACTTGCATTCCGGACTGGTGAAGCGTGCGTGCAGGATCGAGCGAGCTCGGCAAGGCACGGCTACGGTCACGCAGCAGACCCGTGGTGTGAAAGGCGGAAATCTGATTTTGGGACTCACAGAAATGCTTCACAAAAATCAGTCACAATAAAATGCCCCACCACAGTAGGCGGGTCGATGCAAGCCGAGCACGGGATCTTCTTTCGACGCCCAACCGCATGATGGGATCGCCTCTTCTGCTCATCGAGTCGCATCTCATGGGGAGCAAGAAGGCATGAAGCGCAGTCAGAGGCGGGCGTGGTCTCTTCCAACTACACTGTAAACCACGCAAGGCGGACATTGAAATGGATCGACCAAGCAGCAAAATTGGGTTTGCAGATGGGCCAGCCAGCGATCGAGACGATCAGGCGAATGCCCGGGACGAAACGATGGCATCTCTGCAGCAAGAAGCAGAACCGCAATAGATCAACACGCGGCATCTGCGACAGCATTCATACAGCTTTTCGGGGTGGGAATCGTCGTTGGTTGTCACCGTTTGCGACGACCCTCGGAGCGGAGTGGGAAAGGCGGAACCGGAAAGGGGAGTGCAGACTTCTTCTCGGCGTACGATGGCGGTTGAATGGCGATCTATCCCCGATCCACTAAAGCACGGCCAGGGAAACACGTGAATTCTTCCACCACTCTAGCGGGGAAGGTGCGGAGTGTAAAGACGTTTGTGGCTTGAAATCACGCGGCGGCCATGCATGCCGATCATGGTTGTGCATCTTGTTTTCACCTCGTGGCCTCGTGTCGGCATTTCAACTCATCGTGTTCAGGACATGTCGACCTTGCGCACCTTTCATGACGACGCAGAAACATTGGCCGACTTCCGGTCGCTTCGGCCTTCGTGCGAACAGTTCGAATCGCCATTTCACTTTGCCTTCGTGCTCAGGCCTTACAGCTCACATTGATCCCTTGAGTCCCGGCGATCCAGGTCTCTCAGCTAGGCGAGACCGAAGTTTGCTTCCGACTCCCGAAGCTGCGGTCAAGGACGGAAAAATGAAAAAAAGAGTTCTTGAGCCCACTAGTGCCAAATTTCGCCGTACAGAATCGTGTCACAGCCGAATCGGACCTTGAACGAGCGTGCGAATTTGCCCAGCGTCGTTCTCTCGCTTACGACGATGCTCCCACGGGTGGCACTCATTTTCCCGTTTATTCGCCGCACTGCCTCTGGAACGAAGGGCCAGTTTGGACCTGGACCCTGAACAGCACCCTCTGCGGCGACTTACCGCCTGAATACAGTCTCAGTACCCCATCTATGCGTGCAGCTCTCCACGAGACCAGACCACAACCCTAAGCGAGCACCGCCCCGCGAGCTTCGTTCAAATTAAATGTTTTCCCCTTCGCTGCATCCCCCACGCTCAACGTCCGAATGCACCGAACGATGGCCGCGAACTGCCCCCTCAAGCAAACGAAACGATACTTTCGTCAGTGGCTTTCGCACACAGGTCAGCTAAAGTACATGGACGGTCCATCAGGAACGCGAGCATGTTTCGGCTGCTAGGCGAGACGCACTGCCCGATAGAGTGCAGCACATAGCCATCCTCAGTCACCTCTTCCGGCACTTCGCGTGGCCTTTCGTGCTCCACCGGCGTCCTTCAGATGCCTGCGGCAAAGCAAAGTTGGGCCGCGGGCCCCAATCAAGGTCTGGAAATTGCTATGTCGAGCCGTCGACGGCTGCGCTTTTGCGCTGCTTGCTATTTTCTCGACGTAGTCTCGCCGGCAAAATGACGCGGATGGCTCTGCAGGATAAACTGGTTCGCTAGCGCCGTCCACGAGCAGACAAGTAAAGGCACGCTTCGACCCAGAAACACTGATCGGAACTCATTGCTTTTGCGTTTCGACAAAGGCATCTCAGATTCGATTTCTTTGCAGGACGAGCACGGCAAAGTGCGAGGGCCCGGGTTTCTGAAATTCTGTGGTCCATGGTTCGAGGCCGACAAACAAACCCTTAAAGTCATCGGCGACTAAGAGTTTGATCGTCGAATTAATCCGGCTCTGATGCTGGCCGCAGACGCGCAACGACGGGCCGGTACGCATTGCCAGATCGCACTGCAGCACGCTTCCACCTGAGACAGTAGTACTGCAGCAGGCCACCGTGCTAGGAAGCGTTCGAAATGCGAAAAAAGAGGCCCGCCTGAACCGCAGTCAGCACCTTGCCTAATCACGAACAGAAGAGACCACCACTGCAGGATTCGTCTCTTCCGATCGCCTTTTTCAGTTTATCAGCAGGCGGTTGCAGCTACAGTCAATCCGGACAAACAAGCAGAGCGCTGCTGCAGCAATACGTCGACCTCGGTGGAAGACAGCCGCCACTGTACGCAAAGAACGCGCTCGGATTCCGGAGGGGGTCCAGAGCGGCGCTTAGTTACGAACAGCGAGACGTGACACATCGGGATATGAAGCAGGTCTTGCTTAGTAGCTCGTTTGAACCGGCACAGGTAATTATTTGAAATTGTGGCCCGAGACAGACGGTTGGAGTGAACGGCAATTTCGCCGCACGCTTCCTGGGTGCAGCCTGTACCGCACAAAAACCGTCGCCCTGCGAGGACGATGGATGACTTATGGTACAGTACGTACGGTCTGCAAGACAGCGAGGGCAAGAAAGAAGAGGAAAGGTGCTCTGCCAAGCCGAATGCGAGAGCGTGGGAAATTTGGCTGCGAAACCGAATCTTGGCTCTAGGCCCATCATTCGAGTCAATTTTCCAGGGGGGCTTCTGCGACCATCTGCGACTGCTTTGCTCTGGACGCGAAGACGAACACGAGTCGCTGCGACTTCTCCTTCTTTGAGTCTTCGGCGTTGCCGGTGCCGTCCCGTCTCGACGCCATGCCAAGCAGGTCCCTTCTGAGGAAAGACGCAAAGCTCGGAAGTCGCAGTAGGCCAAGCATGACAAAACTGTCTGCCGATGCTGCAATCAATAGCAATGCACCGCGGGCTGCTGGTCGAGTGTCAGTTGCAGCATCGACTGCTAAGCCTCTCTGCCCGGGAGCGTCATTTGTGGTAGCGATGATGGTGGCGGCGGCGCTCCTCAGATGCGGCCACTGATCAAACACACAAAACAATGACGCTTGATCTGACACGCTTTGCAGACGCCACGTTCGGTGTTCACTCACAGCCACAACTCACACACAACCGAACCAATGAGGTGCCTGACGTTGGCAATCTCTACGAGCGAGACCAAAAAAAAAATCCCTTTTTGAGATTTGGGGAGAAAGTCCGAGAATCTGACATCGACATGCAGCAGCGGGGTGAGCGAGGAGGCTCCGTGTGGATTGAGCAGTGGAGGAGTCGCACGAGACAATTTCGCCGTCAGCTAGGCAATATGGCCGCAGCCTGCTTGCTGCCTTGAGTGAATTGCCACACTCAGCTGTGACGTTTTTGCGAGAGACCGTTTTCTTAGTGTGGAGTCAACTCTGTGCGTGGCTTGATGGGTACAGTTGAGCGTAAAGCGGCCAGGGTCCAGTTGATCTGCAATTCGCTGCTGCCGTCTACCATTTTCGTTGTCTCACATCGCGGACTCATAGCTCACCAACTCTCCGCACAGAGTCTTGAATGGCCAAAACGACCTCGACCCGTTTCCGAAAGCCAAGATCGCCACGGACTATTGCCGATCGAGGAAGGAACATCTTCGTCTTTGTTGAGGAGGCGATGGGCGCATCGATGGAGCGACTTTCGTGATCACGGCTCGCGTCATCTGGCCAGCAAAGAAGAGCGGGACCATCCGACTGTCACCGCTGCTTCAACACAGGTCGACTCCTTCGCGCACCGGGGTTGCTGCGGTCTCCTGCTCAGGCCCGTCTTCGATCCGATGCAGCTCTTCCCGTCGATTTGTCGCCGTTGATCCAGGGCACAGTTCAGCTATACCCTTTTCTTTACACAGAGAAAGAAGACACTGCATGCTACCTCCCGCTGTCGGACTGCGCTTTGTGCTGTAGCTACAGAAGCACACATCGGATGCTCCGTCGAGCTTAGGTCGGTCAACTTCGGAAAGTTCGGGGACATGCCGAACATCACATTCATTACGCCTCCGGGCAGACCCTCCGCCACCCGAGCACAAACCGGGCACAGCGCTCGAGGTGAGCACGTCGATGCGCTGGCTACCATACAGGTCGAGCCTCCGACGAGCGTACCGAGCCAATCCAACAGCGAAGCTGAGCCCGGCCCCGCTCAGATCGTGGAGCATGCGCCGCTCATTTTCAAGAAGCGCGTCGTGCACCAGCTCACTACGTCGCCCGAGCCAGCCATCGACTCCTTCGACCTTTCGCATTCCCATGTGCCACAAGAGGAAGTCGGCGTGCAGATCAGGCATGGCGGTGATGCCAAGCGGCCCTCGCTGCTGTCCTCGACAATGCTTGCATCTCCTGCTCAGCCACCGCGCAGCTCTTCTACTGCCAACCTCGGCATTTTGCGCAGAACCGAAACCGAAGACGCACGTCGGAGCTTGGACGGCATCTCGAAGGCGGCTGAGGACACGTTCGACAGCATCTCTCCGGCTGCACCTCGACCACGCTTGCATTTCGTAGAGCCGCAAAAGGAGATCATCCCACACAATCGCATCGCAACAGGGCAAGGCAATGCCACAGCATCGACCGTTCAACCTGTCTATCCTGTAACGGCAACACCGGCAGCAGATACGGCGGCAGCTGTACCGCCACAAACAACAACGTCAGACGAGCCTGCTCCCAGAAAGCGCAGCCTTGTCATTCAAGAGCATGCACATGTCATCGAACGCGCTGCAGAACGCGCTGCCAGGCAGGCCAGCAACCTCAGCTCCCAAGACCTCGAACAAAATGGTCACACGAGCGCAATGCCGAAGGCTCGACAACTCAGCGCATCGTCAGCAGGCGAAGAAACAGCATCGACCCGTTCCAGCTGGGCCCCGCGAAGCAATTCACGCAGTTCCAGCATCGGCACCTCGCCAGGCGTCGTCTCCGAGGACAACGATGATAATGAACCAGAGGCTTCCCTCGTCGGCTCGCCAAAGCCCTTCGAGCTACCACCGATAGTGCCGATCTTCAGCAATGCGACATCGAACGGGCAAGTCGAGTCTCGGCTTCCGTCTGCGCCTGCTTCCTCTTCGCGCAAGCTCACCTTCATCAGTCCGGCGCCGTCAAAACGACGAAGGTCTCCGAGCGCCAATCCTTTCTCGCCAACACGTCCTGCCCCGGATCGGAACACAGGTCACGGATCAAAGAACGCACGCGCTGTCAGCGACGGTGACGAGCAAGCACCAAGCGATGCGGCATCGCGTAGAGTCCTGGCATTTGCTGCATGTCCCAAGCCAGAGCGAGCAGTTCGACTCTCCCCAGCACATGCGATGAGGAAGCCAAAGAGCAAATTGTCGGCCAGCCCGGCACCCCATAAGCTTGCCTACTCTCAACGACTACGGGGAATTCGTGGAGCCGATCCCATCCGGTCGCCTGCACCGGAAAGGGAGAACGTCTCTTCCGATCAGGCCGCACTCTGGGATCAGCTCCGCGAAGATGTCTCCTCCCAGGGTTCCGGCTACAGCGAGGATGAGGAAGACGGCGACACCGACTCGAGCGACGATGACCAAGATGAAGGGCTCAGCGGCTCGGATTACTCTGACGTTCAGAGCGAGACACAATCGTTGCTGGATCAGAGCCAAGAGAGTGCAGCTTCCCTGAACGGGGGTGTTTCGCCATCATCAGAGGAGGAGGTTGAGCAATTGCGCCCAGAGACGTCAGATGTCGTCCCGCAGACCAGACGACCTTCCGACCGACATATATGGCGGCACGAAGCTCGGGCTGTACCCAGCGAATCTGAAACAGGCTCCAGCCATCTGGACTCGCGCAGACCTTCGAGCAGCTCTACGGGGTTGCAGAATGCCGCTCAGAACCCGAATTGGATCAGCTCCGGCTCTCCTTCACGCCCATCACAGCCGTCACAATCGCAGCAGACCTCTCCAATGTCGGGTCCGTCCAGCAGCTCTGCCCGCAAGCTCAAGCTCAAGGATTCGTTTTCGCATCCAATGTGCTTCCTTCCAGATGCATTTGAGGACTCTGCTCCCCCGACACCAACAGAGCCGGACTCTGACGCGTACGAGCCGCCGCAGCGATCGAATCTGCTACCAGGGTGGCTTTCCGAGGGCGGCAGTGCTACCAGCTCGCGTCGCGCCAGTTGGCAGCAGCAGCAGCAACAGCCGCCAGCCAGTCCTCGTATGCGTAGCGGCGACGAAGCCGGCATGGCGGTGCCCATCACATTGCCACCGTTCAGACGCTCGCGCGAACGGACAGCGACCTTCGGCGTGACGAGCGACGGGGAGCAGAACAGTCGGTCTCTTGGTGGCAATGCCGCGTTCATACGTGAGTCTGCGGGATTAGGCAAGAGTGTTGTGGGCGATGAAGAGCGCCGCGACGTACGAAGCGCCGGTGCATCTCCTTACGCGTCGCCCATGTCTCATGACCTTGGGATCAGCGTACCTATCAACGGTCGACCGTCTCAGCCCGTCTCTTGGCGACACTTGTCGAGTCAGCACATTCCCAAGCCGGATCGTTCGGCTTTCGGCGCTACCGCGTTGCGCCGAGCAAGCCATTCCACGGAGCCGAGAAAAGTCAGCTCGGCCGTCAGCAGTCCCATTGGCTCTTATTCGCATGCATATGCGTCTGGTAGACTCACACCGATGCTCCACGGCGCCGCAGGCTCGGAACGCCCCGTCCGGCCTCCCGCAGGCAAGCAGCGAGCCGTGTCCTCGTCGAGCCACATCCGCAGTCGACCGATCGTAGCGCAAAGTATGCACGACGATGTCGTGGTAGCCACATCGCCGCCGAGAGATGACGCGTCGACGCAGCTCAAGCACCATCTTGCACATTCGCCGCAGAGTCCCTCGGGCAGCACGACACCTGGCTGGATGTCGGATGGTCAGCTGCCGAGCCAGACTACGAGCAGGTATTGGACCGAGAGGCTGTCGTCGTTGGCTCAGACCATGTCGGAGGAGTTGACGATGGTCGGCAATGCTGTACTTGGAAAGGACGTTATGGGTGCGCAGGCTGGCGAGGGCGGAGAGGTGCACCGTCAGCCGACTTCAGTGCCGTTGGATGGTGCGGTCATTGTTACGGGTGAGGAGGTCGAAGGGCAGCACGCGAATCAGGCCGCGGCGCTGCCTCCCGTCACGGCAACCACGGCAGCGTATGCGCGACGCGGCTCTGCCAGCATTCCAGTGCCAACGAGACCGAACCCGGCAGCGGAAGCATGGTCTGGACAACGAGACGGTCAGACCCGACTGCCACAAAGATCTCGCTCGAGGCAACAGGGTGCACGTGATGCCACCCTAGATGCGGGCGGGAGGGACGGTGAAGGCTCGAGCACAGACGATACGAAACCATTCCAATTTGCGAAGAAGGAGATGGGAGAGGATGGATTGACCCGCTTGGTCGTCATTCATACTTCAGATACGACTCAGCTGCGCGAATGAGCGACGCTCGAGGCGATGACGAGGAGGACCCGTTGGGAACGCCAATATGCATGGTTGCTTTTGTTATTGTGTTACTTTAAGACGAAATCTTCTACAATGAGAGTTTGTCATAGCCTGATGGTGAGTTAGCTGAGGAAGAGGGCTGCTAGTCTCGGAGGTGGAGAGTGTCCTGCATCAGTTCGCCGTTCTTGCACGGCACCTTCGATCAGCCTACAACCACCTGCTTACCATCGACCTTGATTCCACCGACCACCCTCTCGTCTTCCGCAACCTCGATCCCCAAACCCTGTCGCAACTTATCCCTCCACTGCTCATCTCTTAGCTCCACCTCAAACTCGTCGTGCCCTGCCTGTCTGACCTGTCTACCGAACACTTCTGCGAAATGCTGCATGTACGCCTCAGCGATGCTCTCAACCTTTTCCTCTCTATCCACCTCTTGACCTTGCTTGTACGTGTTGTACTTTTCGAATGGACCGTTTGGATCGAGTCTGTCCTGCAAACAGGTCATGTTCCGACCTACGATTCCGCAAGCCACGATATGCTTAAACCCAGCCATGCTACGCTTCTCCACGTTGAGTGCGAAACCGTGACTGCTGATCCTATGTCTGACCTGGATACCGATGCTTGCGATTTTGTGATACTCGTCCGCCCATACCCCGGTATGATCGTCCGGCGGGGGCACCGTAGACACCGCCCTCGATTTCAGCAGACCGATAAGAGAGTCCTGGATTCGATCGACGTAACACCGACTCGCAAGATTCATAGATCCCAAATTCAAGATTGGATAACCGACCAATTGACCCGGTCCATGGTAAGTGATCTGACCACCACGCTTGGTCAGGTGGAAGTCGGCACCGAGGGATCGAAGATGGGAGGAAACGAGGTGGTTTTCGGAATCGTGCCGACGTCCTTCGGTGTATACGGGTCGATGTTGAAGGAGCAGAAGTGTGTCTTGGGATGCGAGAGAATGGAGGGTCGCTTCGGAGGTGGAAGGGGCGATGACGGTATGTCCGGACAGAGTGGATGCAGAGGAAGAGGTGGCGGAAGACAACGCGCGGAGGGCAGCACGTGCGTCGGAACGTTGCCTGACAAGGTGCTCTTGGAGAGCGAGACCAAGGTCGTAGGGTACAAATCCGGGTATGTAGATCGCTCGTACCGGGTCGAGGTGCGTGAAATCTTGGCGGGAAGCAGCTGAAGCCAAGTCGCATGCGGCAGGGTCGTTGGTGTTGTTGCGTGTTACGGCCGATGTCGAGAATGCTCTCGGGTTCGTAGCTGCAGAGCGAGCGGATGAGAGACGCGTGCGTTGCTGCTTTCTCGCGTGATTCATCGGACCTCTGCCTGTACTGCCAGGAGCAACCTTGTCCGACGAGGTGGGCCTCTTCGACACCACTGGGGTGAATCCGCGCCGCGACGGCGAAAGAGTAGGCGCCTTTGCATGAATCAACTTCCTCGACGTCGGAAGGTCATCTTGCCTCTCCTCGACCGCACCCAACATCTCGTCCTGTGCACCCAAGATGGAGCTCTTGACACGCTTCCACACCGATGCTTGGTACGATCTCTCCACGTCTTGCGGACTTTCCGTGTCTTGCCACCTCTCCGCGTCTTGCCAGCTCGCACTCTCTTGCAACCTCAACCAGCCCGGGGGAACAGCTCCTTCCTCTTGCGCACTCTGCAATTCCGCCGCGCAGACCCTGTTGAGCACCCTGACCAAATACTGCGTCTGACGAAGCGTCGATATTGGCTGAGCGCTGAACATCATTGTATCGCCACCGTTCGTCGAATCACCCACGACCCTTTGGATCGCTCGCGCCTGCTCATCGCCCTGCCGAGCTACACTCTTGAGCGTCGTGTCGAGGTTGAGTTTGCTAGCCGAGGCTTTGACCTCGCCTGACTCAGGCGACAGGGCAAGGGTATGACCGTGCGCGACGAGCGGATCCACGACAAAGGTGTAGGTGCTCTGTGAAGGGTTGACTCTCCACCGTTCGAAGAGGTTGAGGACGACGACGGCGGCGGGGTAGTCGCGTTCTGCCATCGCTGCTCTGAGCGCCGCATTGAGGGTACGGCGGCTTCGACATGCTGCGATGTTGTCGGTAGAAGTGACCACTTTGGCGTCGCCTACTTGGACGAGAGACTGGATGAGTGTACGCGATGACGGCAGATCTTTGAGCTTACTTGACGCTTGTGCGTTTGTGTGCTTGGCAGCAGATATCTGGATGGAAAAGAGCGCGTGGAGCAGTGCGGCATCGTGCAATTGACCAGCTTCGAGGATGCCACCCAGCTGTTTCTGTATAATCTTGTATGCACCAGCCACGTTTCCAACTCTGGCCTCAAAGCTGAGGATGAACGCTACGATGGCAATGTCGACGGGTACACGATCGGCGATCAAGAGGTTCATGGCATCTCGTATCTGACTTGAGGTCCTCTCAATCCTCGCCGTCGACAGGTGAGGTAGGTCTACCAATTTTCGGATGCCAGCCATGTATGTGAGGTAGGGCGCGGATTTGATGGGCGTTGGAAATTGTCGAGTTGCCTGTCTGTATCGATCCAACCAAATTCTAGCGCCTGGAAGATCGCCTGCGTCGACGCGAGCCTTGATGAGCGATTGCCAGAGCACTACATTGCTGCCCCAACCTGTCAAGTCAATGGATAGGTCCGCGTGCAGAACGGTGGGATCACGGGCTCCCTGTGCATTGGCCCATCGACGGAGCAGCGCTTCGCCCTCCTCGGGTTTTTGCGTGCGGCCGAATGCTCCGATGAAGCTCGAGAGGGCATGGTGATTGATGCGCCTGAGGTGAGCGGCTTGATCGTCTGCGCTTGCGGCAGGAGGAACAAGGTGTTGGAGGGCATTCGCTGTAGCATGGTACAGTTGGTCGGGATTAAGCAGATCCAAAAAACACGAGAGCATGGCCGAGATCATCTTTGCTGTGGGCTGAATGTTGCGTTGGAGACAGACATCGTAGATGGCAGCGATAGCGTAGGCGCATTGGATAGGAATGTCAAGTGACTTTGCTGCAATGGCAGGATCGAGACGGGCTGGTCTCCAGAGATCGGTATCGGTGGGTTTGGATAGTCTGGGAGCCGGGCGTGTGGTGGCGTGTTTTGCGCTCTGAATGCGCATGCCAAGGATGAAGTTTTCCATCTGGTCGGCGGTGAATGGTGTGCGACTCGAGTTGGCTACATCTTCGGTAAGGGCGGTCATTGCGGAAAGGATGCGATTGTCGCGGATGAGACGATTGATAAGATGCGCCCTGCTGTTGTACACCTTGCTGCCCGAGGCTTGGGAGAGCTGTCGGGTGCGTTTGGCGAGTGTTCGGCCGGACGAGTTGGACGGCTCGAACGGTTCACGAGCAGCGGGCAGGACTTGAAGATCTGCGGCTTTCCTTGGAGCAGGCGAAAACAGTTTGGAAGCGGATAGCAGCGGCTGCAATGCATTGTTGACAAGATTTTGAAAGGGAGTAGGCGGCGCTGATCTGATCGACTGTGCGTTAGGCGTAAGGCGCCGTGAAGAAGCAGCTGCGGCACTGCTTGTTCCCGCAGTAGCAGCGGTACCGACCCTGCTGAGGGTGGTGTGGCTGACCCTCATGCTGCCGAGGCTGCGAGAGAATACTGAGGATGATGGTTGCAGGAAGAACAGCTCTTCAACATTATTTCGCCGTCCAAAAAGCCGTTGCTCAGCCTCAGCCGTTTCAAGCCGGCCGGTAAGAAGAAAAGCGCTTTTCTGACAGAAATCTGCGGTAAATCGATGCACAAAAATGCACGAATTTCGCATTTTCAACGTCAAATTAGGCTCTGTCGATGTTGCTGTCTGTGCGCCCTCGGTGCTGCGTCCAACCTTCACACCACCATATACAATAATACTCCATCGCAAACATGGAGTCAAACAGCTTGCTCAACAGAATGGGAGCACAGGGCGGTGCGGAGAATGCTAGAGGTGGGCGTGGAGGAGGAGGTCGTGGCCGCGGCGGTCGGGGTCGAGGACGAGGTGGCGCCGGTGCTGGTGGCGGTCGAGGGCGCGGAAGGCCCCGTGTAGGCTTGGCAGGAGCATCTGCAACACAAGAGACACACTCCAGCACGGCCAACAGCAGTTTTGTCGCCACTCCTGACGACACACCTGCACCCTCTGGTACCAACACGCCCACCTGGACGCCCAAGCCAATCGCACCTGGCACGGATGCCGCCGCCTATCTGACGGAAAACAAGTTTGCGGACCTCAAAGGCTCCGTCGACGACCGCCTTCTTTCGGCCATCCCTTTCCCCACCATGTCGGCTGTCCAAGCCGCCACACTCTCCACCGCACTTTCGGGCAGGGATGTGCTGGCACAGGCAAAGACCGGTACGGGTAAAACGCTCGCTTTCCTCATCCCTTCCATCCAAAAGCTCTGCGCCCTACCCAAACCACCCCCGCAAACATCGATCTCTGTCCTAGTCCTCTCGCCCACACGTGAGCTGGCTCTGCAGATCGAAAAAGAGGCTCACATGCTGCTTGCCAACCTCCAAGGCACCTTTTCGGTCCAGCACGTCGTCGGAGGAACCAACATCGGTGCCGAACGCAAGCGACTTCAGCGCGACCGCAAAGACCTGCTCATCGCTACACCCGGTCGTCTGCTCGACCACCTCTCCAGCGATGCTCCTGGACTCGACCTGCGCAAGGCTTGCCAGAACCTTCGCGTCCTCGTCCTCGACGAAGCTGATCGAATGCTCGACATGGGTTTCCGAAACGAGCTGGAGAAGATCCTCAAGATGCTTCCCGATCCCGTCGCCAGTCAGAGACAGTCGCTCTTTTTCTCGGCCACCATCCCGAGCTTCGTTCACGAGGTCGCCAAACTTCGTCCCGACCACGCATTCATCTCGACGCTTACCGAGCAGGACAACAACACGCACGAGCACGTTCCTCAGGAATCGCTCATCTGCTCCCTTCGCGATTGCCTTCCACGTGCACTCCAGGTGGTGCTGACGGAGGCCATTCGTCATCCATCCGACCACAAGCTGCTCGTGTTCCTGCCTACGGCGAGATCGACCTCGTTGGCAGCTGCTGTCTTCACGCAATTGCGCAACCAGCGCGGTTCGGCGTACTCGAAGCTGGGTCCGATCTTCGAGATTCATTCGCGAAAGTCACAAGCGGTCAGGACAAAGACGATGGAAACGTTCCAGACGAGCACTTCGGGTATCTTGTTCTCTTCGGACGTCACTGCTCGAGGAATCGATATTCCCGGAATCTCGCTCGTGCTGCAACTCGGCTTGCCTAGCAGTCTGGAACAGTACGTCCACCGTCTCGGCCGTACCGCTCGAGCAGGTAAGCAGGGTCGTGGAGTCTTGATCCTCGCCGATTTCGAAGCGTTCTTCCTCAACCAATCCGACGTCAGGAAACTGCCCATCACCAAACTCGACGTCGCAGCCGTCGAGGCAGAATCCAAAGTCGCCCTACCCCAAGTGACGAACGATGTCGATGGTGCCATGCAATCCATCGATCCCACCACGAGGAGTCAGGCGTACCAAGCCCATCTAGGGTTCTACAAGGCCTACCTCAAACAGCTCAGGTGGAAACCGGAAGACTTGATCCAGAGTACCAACGAGTACGCTAGAGACATCTTGAGGTGGAACGAGAGTCAGGGTGGTGCCTGGGTCGGACCTCCGTTGCTGCAAAAGACCGTGTCGATGATGGGCTTGAAGGGCAAACCAGGACTTAATATTGTCAAGGAGTTGCCGGGCAAGTCGGGTGGTGGAGGCGGAAGAGGCGGTGGGGACAACGGTGGGCTCAAGAGGCAGAATGGGGCTCAGGGTGGGAGGTTTGCGAACAAGCGATAGATGTCGTATATTGTATGAATGGAAGTGTCTTGGGTCGAGTTCGTGCGTGAATTATGTTTGCGAATGTCGGTCTGAGAGCTGTGTGAGCCGGAAGATGCGCCGTCGACTCACCTTGAGAAAGAGGGATGACGTGCCGTGTGACCGGCTACGAACAACCATGGCTTGCCTATGTGCGGTCCGGCGACAATCCAATGACCGGCCCAACCGGATCGCTTGTGGCTCTCACCGTGAGAGCCCCTTCATCCATTCTATCAGCGAAACCTTGAGCTCGCAGACACCAGAGTTACGCCCACAGCACGACGACTTCGACAGAATCTTGCCTAGATATCCGTTGGTAGCTGTGTGGGAAACGTGTAGTCAGTTGTGGTCAACTCAAAAGACTCGTTGGACGAAGAGCAAATCGCTGAAATGAAGTGCATGAGATGAGATGTCTGTGCGAGTCGTCAAAGCTTTCTGCCACTTCGCGACGACGGTCCTCTGACACGGTGGGTCCTTCATCAGCAAACGCTTTCCCTCGAGCTGGATCAAAAGCAGCTGGTTAGGTTATAAAGCTTCACAGCGCCCGAAAACTACACCTCTTCCTTCGAGCAACACTATCTCGCTCACAAACACTCACTATCACTGAATGTAAGTTGTCCACAACCGCTCGTCTCCGTCGATAACGACACGTATTGACACACCTTTTTCCACCTCAATCTCCTCAGTCAACCATGCAATTCGCTCACTTGCTCAGCGTCCTCTCTCTCACCCTCACCCTTTCCCACCTCGCGGTCGCCACCGCCATCCCTCCAACCTCGTCTGGCTCTGACTCCAAGTTCGTCAAACGGGGCAACCATGTCCACTACCACAACGGCGGCTCGTCCTCCGGCGGTGGTGGCATGTTTGGCAACAGCAAAGGCTCGATGGCCAAGACCATCATCGGCGGCACCGCTCTAGCCGGAGGAGCTGGGTTCGCCGCTACGGCTGGCTCGATCGGTGCCCACCGGCTATTCGATCAGAAAGACGACGACCAGGAGGGAGGAGGTAGGAAAGGGGGAGCGCAGCAGGGTCAGACGGGAGCTGCGGGTTGGCAGCAGCAGATGCCTGGCCAGGACCAGGTGCAGGTGTATCCCAAGGGAGACAATAGGGCGCTTGGTGCTGGGACGGGCGGTGAGCGAATGAGGAAGTTGGTCGTGCCGGTGGCGCTGCTCATGTCGGATGGAAGTTATCGGGCGTTGAGCGAGGAGCAGCAGTATGAGTTGGAAGGTGGAGAGCGCGGGATGCAGGAGGAGCAGCAGGAGCCGCCAAGGTACTCGCCTCAGATGGGTGGCGCTGGTCAGGGTCAACCCGGTGCAGCTGGAGGTGGTGGGTTCGTGTTCCCTGACCAGGGCGCAAAGTAGAGACTCGCTGGTACGATGGCTGCTCTACTGTAAGCAATGGCTCGGCTGGTGACTTTCTGAGACCCTTGTGCTTGTCTCTAGGCTCGATTCGATGTCAATCACATTCCTCCACAACCCATTCTATCTATCCAACGATGTCTTGTGCTTCCCTTCGGCTGGAATCTGTGACTACAGTTTCAATCTATACCCCCTCGCACTCAACCACCTCGCCAACCCACAACACACCCCCACATACACCAACAACAACCCCACCGCCACCGCATCCCTCGTATACATCGTCTCGATCGTCAGATTCACCAACCCCGTCAGCACGTTTGCCGCCAAAAACACCGTCAACGAGTGTCTATTCAGATCCTCCAGTATCCGCGGCGTCATCGAATCCTCCCTCCCCTCTTGCTCTTCCACCGGCTGCAGCACCAACCCGTACACCACGACATACCCCAACAAGAACGACGTGTTGAACGCCACCACCCACAGCACGTACGGCAGATTCGCCAGCCTCCTACTCGTCCTCCACCCCACCACACTCGCCAACCCAAACCCGCTCCACTCTAGGATGGCTAGGCTTGCAAGTACCATCGCTAGTTTATCCGTTCTTGGTTTCGCCCGTCTGCGGCGAATCTTTCGATAGGCGAAATAGGGGTCTAGGGGTAGCACGTAGTGACCTAGATCGAGGCCGATGTAGAATATAGCGAGGTAACCTACGATGCTGGTCAGACCTTCTTTGTTGGCACTCCAGAGTGTATCTCGGTGCAACGTGTCGGATAACGCCCATTGCTCCCACGCCGTCGTCTTCAACAGGATCTGGTGCAGCAGTGATATCGCTATCCCGACAACGCTGAACCTCAGCCCACCAGCCCTCGCCATCATCCTCCCCACCGAACTAGCCAACGGCAGCACCGACAGCGTAAAGAAAAAGTTCCAATGAACACCATACTCACCCACATGCTCCACATACTCCACCCCCTTCACACTAACCACCCTCACCACCCCCAACGCCAACAGCGGTAGACACTTTCGAAAGTCACTCCACAGCTGTCGTCGTACCCCACGAAAGCGATTCTCAGGACTCTTGAGGAACGGCAGGGCGGAGATGATGCCGAGACTGAAGACGAACGAACCGACACCCATGTCCATCCAGCTGGTGCCCCAGGATTCGCACTTCGAGAGGAAGCGCGGGAAGACGGGGAAGTCAACGGCGAGGATGGAGATGATGGTGACGAGCATCATGTGCGCTCGGTAGACGGTGAGGAAGGGTCGCGGTCGGACGAAGAGGTTTCGCTCAAAGTGCGGGTGCGACTTGGTCGAGCTTGTTGAGGGTGGGTCGTGAAGGGTTGATTCGTCCGTAGCGGGAGAGGTGGAATGGTCGATCGACGGTGATGGATGTTTCCCCTTTCCCCAAGGATCCACTACGCTCCTAGCCAGCGGTGACATGGCAGACGAAGCCGATACGACGGATTGCGCATCGGATGCGTCTCTGGAATGCAGCAGTTGCAACGGCGAGGTTTTCAACGCTGTGAGCTCTGCTGGACGTCGTGTCGGCGATGGGAACGCCGAGGTAGTTGCTACGTCGGGCGATAGAAATGCCAGGTCACCACGAGAAGCTGCTGAGCTGGAAGTCGCTGATCCGAGGATCGGACTCTGCGGAGCGGTGCTCACCGAGGTATCGATGGATAGATCGAGGTCAGAGTGGTAGGAGGAGGAGCCGGGACCGGAGTAGAAGTTGGGTGGGGCGGCTGAGGCGTGTGCTGCATCAGCGGCCGAGTCGATCGAGACTCGAAATGGTGGCTCAGGTTCTGCTGTGGCTGAAGGGGCCAAGGACGATGTTGTTGCGTGTATGCCGGTGTCGACAACTAGGTCGTCTTGATCCTCGTCGTCAGAGAACTTTTTCGACCAATGTCGTTTGTCCTTGCTGTCGTTCTTGCCTTTCGTCTTTGACGGCAGTGATGCACCGCTACGAAGCAGGCACACCAGTATCGCGATCAACACACCGTTCGTTGCCAGCAGATGCGTAGCAAATACTGTATGTGAGGCCACCGCCGGCACGATGAGAACGAGAAACTCGAGCTGCCAGTCGCTGAACTTGTCCATGATAGCCGTCACATGTGACCAGGGTGAGCTATCATTCGGTCGCCATCGTCGATCCTTACGAACAAAACGTATACGTTTAGCGCTGAGTACAGCCCATATCGCGTAGGTCAGAAGCATCACGAGCCCGAGCGTGTTGACGACGTGGATCGAGCTCCCGGTCTGATCGGCGATCCATGCTTCCTTGAGCTGCTTGTAGGAGCTTGCATCGCGATGCAGCGCAGGCAAGGAAGCGGAGGCGCTGTGTGTCAAGAGTGGCGGGTCGTCACTGCTGCGATGGTCGGAGTGATGTGGGAGATTGTGATGGCGGTGTACAGCATCGATGACGGCAAGAGGCTCGTTGGTGCCTGGCGGGCCGAGTGGACGATCCATGTTCTTGGCGACGTCGACCTTCCAGCTCAGGCCTGCAGCATCAGAGCATTCTCGTATATGCAAATATGAGGAAATGTCGCAGGGACAGTTGGCGTGAGTGTCGATGATCGCAAGAGGTCAAGAAAGGAACGGCGAAGTTGTTCTTTGTACGACACTCGAGCGAGACTCGTGTTGGTTTCTAGAATTTCATGCAAGCCCACGGCTAAATTTGGTCGTTGGTCGCCGGTTTATAGGATGACAGGCGCTGCAACTGCAGAATTCTTTGGGCACGGTCCCTCCACATGCGACTGGTTTGCGTGTCACAAGCTTGGCTCCTTTCCTTTCTACACTCACCTTGCCATCCACTCATCAGCATGTCCGCTTCGCCGGAACCATATCTACTGGCATCGACCATTCTCACCCCGGAAGAACTACCCAAACTCGCCCTCGTCACCTACGATCCCTCAGCATCTCACAACGATGACGCAAGTGGCAGCCAATCACCAACACCACCACCCCACACGCAGCGCATCTTTGTCATTGTCTCCAATGTCTCCTTCGGTGTAGAGCAGTCGTGCGTGCTCGTCATCAAGCCACGCCGAAAGGATCCAACCACGGCAGTCCTGCTTGAAGCGATACCCATCCTGCCAGATCTCAAGATCGAAATTGAACCGCAGCAGGGGTTGACCGCATCCGCGGCTACTCCTCGCAATCATCCTCCAGCAGCGACGACGTTGGGACTGTCGAGCTTGCCGCAGACTTTGCCGACGATACATGCGCTGTTGGAAAGTGTGGTGCCGGATCTGTTCGATAGCAAGGCGGTGGATAGCTCGAATGCTGCGTTGAAGCTGACGCTTTCGCATGGTAGCCAGGCTGCGTCGGGTATGACGAGCGATGCCAGGGGGTTGAAGGATTTCCTGAGCGTGTTGAAGGATCTGCTCAAGGTGGCGCAGGAGCATTCGTTCGAGGAGGACAAGACGCATGGGTGGATGAAGGCGTATACGGAAGAGCTCTCTCACCATTCCGCATCGCATGTGGGCGCAGCATCGCAACTCGACACACCTATCTTTTCACGCTTCACAAACAGCGCTTTCCTCCCCAGCAACGCTGCAGCACACATCGCACGTCCCGCATCTCCAACCGCCTCCGACATCCGCATCTCCGTAGGCACGTTCAACGTCAACAGCCACCTCCCTCCGGACGACATCCCCACCATCATCGGTCTCAAGAAATGGATCAAAGCGGAACAGGATCCCGACCTCATCGTCCTAGGTTTTCAGGAAGTGGACAACTCCAGCGGAGCGTACCTCTACCACTCCCCCGCCAAGGAGGATGCGTGGGTGCGTGCGATCACGAGGGCGCTGGGAAGACGCAGCGAAAAGTACTGCAAGTTGGCGTCGAAGCAGTTGGTCGGGTTGATGGTGTTGGTGTTTGCAAGGGAAGGGTTGGAGGTGGACGAGGTGGCGACGGCGAGCGTCGGGGTGGGGTTGGGTGGGTTTGTGGCGAACAAGGGGGCGGTGGCGGTGAGGATGGGGGTGGGGGAGAGGACGATTTGTTTTGTGAACTCGCATCTGTCGGCGATGGAGGGATTGCAGGCGATGGAGAGGAGGTGTTGGGATTGGAGCGAGGTGTACAAGAGGTTGCGGTTTAGGTTGGAGAGGGACAAGGTGGATTTCTGGGAGACACCCAAAGGGGAGGGGGAGAATCGGTTCAAGACGCAGCAGGATATGAAGGACGAGGTGATGGATGCGGAGGGGAGTGGTGACAGAGGCTTGATGGAAAAGGATGATAGCAATCCAGTCGGTGAGGAGGTTCCGAAACCTTTCACCATCTCAGCGACTGACCCCGACAATCAACCAGCAGCCCCTCCCGGCATCACCGACGAGCTCACCTCCGCCGCCTCCCTCGACATCACCTCCGACTTCATCCCCCCCTCCCATCCTCCACCTTTCTCCACCACCTCCACCTCTCCACCCTACGTCGAGCAGTCCATTACCGACCACGACATCATCATCCACTTTGGCGACCTCAACTTCCGGCTCGACCTCTCGCACTCGGAAGCGCACCGTCTCATCCGTCAGAACGATCTCGCTACGCTCTACCGGTACGATCAGCTGGAATCTCTGCGGACGTCCGGATCGCTGTTCGACGACTTCCACGAGGGCAGGACGGCGGCGTTTGCACCTACGTACAAGTTCGACAGGGGCACGGATGTGTACGATACGAGCGAGAAGATGCGGGTTCCGGCGTGGACGGATAGGGTGTTGTGGTGTGTGACGCGCGAGTGGGAGGAGGATGAGGTGGCGAAGGAGTCGATGACGCGGGAGGAGGGGGAGAGGGAGAGGAGGCAGGGGGTGGTGTTGCAGGAGTATGCGAGCGTGACGGATCTCAAGTTTAGCGATCATAGGGCGGTGCGTGCTACGTTCATCGTTAGGATCAGGTGAAGCATCGGATACTGCTATTTGTATCATCCATACCATGCAATACTAGAACATCGTCCAAGGGCTATCTACACTTGCACCGCTCACAACCCCAAACTCCTCAGAACCCCCAACCAACCCCTCCCACCCCACTTGACCCACTCGCCTCCACCCCTCACGACCCCCTCCACCGCATTCACCAGTCCATCCTCCCTTGCCCGCACGACCCTCCACAGCACACCCCTCGTTTCGTCCCACCCACCGCTCCCACTGGCAGCATGCAGGATCGCCACAGTGTACGCCGCACCCAGCCTGACACGCACAGCGTACCAGTCCGGACCGTCTGGATCGCTCCACCCTGTCATCGCTTGTGCTGCGGGGTGTGTGAGCGCCTGATCGACGAACGCCGAGGTGAGGGTGAGCAGGGGCAGCGGGGTGGGGAGGTTCGGGAGGAGCGTTTGGTGCGGAAATGCCGAGTGCAGAGAGGATGTTGTAGGAGAGAGCGTGGAGAGGGAGGTGAGCGCGGGGAGGAGGTGCGTGCGGATAGAGTGAAAGTGCTGCAGACGGGATTCGAGGAGTGTGGTGACGTTGTGAAGCGCGGTCTTGGATTCGCTGGGTGACAAGGGGGTCATACGAACCGGTCGAGCGGCGGGAGTGTCGGGATCTTGGCCATCGCGTACGAGCTGAAGAAGCGTAGCGATGGGCATGGAATGAACGACGGAGATGTCGCAGAGGTTGCTCCATGCGGTGAAGAGCTGGGTTTCGAAGTGTGAATCCGGACCGGGAAAGAGCGTTTCGATGGTCCGAATGCTGCGAGCCGGGTCTGAGGAGGAGGAGGATGCGAAATAGGCTTGCTTGGTGAAGCCGTATTGTGGGATGTGTGGGATCGAATCCAGAAGCAGCAGCATGCTTGCACTTGGAAGGGTCTTGGATGTGTGCTGCGATGTGCTCTGATCAGAGGCGTGAGGGGTGTTGGATGTGCTGGCTTGCGACGGGTCGAGAGTGCGGGCGGTGGACGTCAAAGTCCGAGGTAACCGTGGTCGAGCTTGAGCAATTGCAATTCTGCCAGATCGTGCGAGCCGGGCTGTTCGAACCATAGCCCCAAAAGGGCGTGGAACGGATATTGCTGACATTGTGTCGCTTCTGTCAAAGCCTTGCGATGTTATCAACCGATGATGATGGTTCGGAAGAAGCAAACGAAGTAGTTGGGTTTCTTCTCGTGTCTTGCGGGCGTGGACCCTTTCCGCGCACCAAAAATTCAAAGTGGAGGCTTTGCAGCTCAATTCTTGCTCGCCAACCCCATCTCAGCTCGCCTCGTCCTCATGAGATCGTCCTCCCTAGCCCTCATAGTCTCAGCTTCTCTCACACACACCGCACCAGCACCAGCCATATCGATCGCATGAGCACGCCCAAGTTCAACAGCAACGTACTGACCTTGAAACGTCTGTCTACACACCGTACAGCACGCTCTTGTAATCGCGCAGGATCACACCCACACTCTCCGGGCCCGACAAGCCCACCTCGCTCGCCACGGCCGAAATAAACCTAGGCGGAGTCACATCGTACAGCAGATTGATGACGGCCAAGTTGGGCGAAGCCTGCCACTCTGCAGCATCGATCAGCCCACCACCTGCTGCGCGCTTGTTCGCCTCTCCACCATCTTGGTCCGCTTCTCCGCCGTCCAAGTTCTGCTCCGATGAAGGCAGCAGAAGATCGAGCGGATTGCCAGCTTCGTTCTGAACGAAAGAATCCAGCTGTACGCGTTCGGAGAACTTGTACGTTTCGCAGCACACGATGACGGGGATGCCCTTTTCCTTTGCCATCATAGCGCAGGTGGCTGTTCCTGCACGAGAGTAGAGTGCGCCATTGGCGAGCAACGCCGATGTACCCAACAGCAAGATGTCCGCACGCGGCATGAGCGAGGACACGCTAGAGATGAGACCGTAGGTGCACGGGATACCTGCAGCCAGCAACACCGAGAGCAACGCCCTGCCCTCCAACAGCGGTCTCGTATCCACGACGATGACCTCGAATCGCGTGCCACGCTGCCAAGCAGCCAGCAGCGTACCTTCAACAACCGACGATCGGGCAAACGTCATGACGACATCTCCGTCCTTGATCTTGTTGCCCGCCTGGGTGCGGATGATCTTGGAAGCGTAGACGATGCGATCGCGGATAAAGTGGTCGATTCGCTCCAGAAGATGTTCCTTCGCTTCGTCTTCGGTGAGGTCGGCGCAAACGACCGAGATCTCGTACTTGAGGTATCGCACCGCTACACCTTGGGAAGTGCCCATAGCACGTGCATCGACGAGATGTCCGACCTGAGCAGAGACGGTCTTGAGGAGGTCGCGGTTGAGCATCTCGCCTCGAGGCGTGGTGTAGTCGCGAATGACGTCAGCCATCGCACGGAGGAGGGCGATGGCGCGTGTGTCGGCGCCGATGAGCTTGTACTGGGCGAGCTGGGATGAGAGTCGCAGGATGGAAGGGTGGATGTTGGAACGGAACGAGGCAGAGACTTGAGCTGCAATGTGTGCATTGTGCGGTTTCCCGGACGAGACGTTGCCGAAGAGCGCGACGCTGGGATGCTGTGGGATGGATTTGGCGGAGGGCTCGTTGTCGTGTCCAGCACCTCTTCTCGCGCCGGAACTGGAAGCTGTAGCTGCCATGGAGGTGCCTGCTGCTCCACTTGCCAAGGCTCCAGCGCCTGGTCCTGGATTACTACCACCAAGACCAGCGGTGGAGCCGCCTAGCCTTGCATTACCTCCTGGGTTATTGGCAGAGGAGGATCCGGGTCGTCTGCCTTCGCGACTGCCCTGCTGGCTTCGATCCGCTGCACCTCCTCGCTGAGCGGCGTTGGGTGCAGGGAGCCCTCGCTGCGGGGTCGACATGTCACCAGGGGCTCGTTCTGCCACCTTGGCGGCTCGTCTCGCAGCTTTGAGCTCCTTTGCCGACTTTTTGTCGTTTGCAGCTGGTTGCGGCTTCGTTGATGGAGCTGAGGCTGAGGATGATGAAGATGCAGCTGCTGCGACAGGCGGAGCTGTGCTGGGCCCTGCAGCCGAGCTGGGTCTTGAGGTCGATGCTGGTGCCGCGTCCGACATGATGGGTGACTCGACTCGATGAGGAAGATGGTCGATGGTGGAAATGTGGAAGAAAGTGCAACAGTGGACAGCTCAGTTGAGAAAAAGTGCATGTCTTCTTCAACCGTGGGTGCTGCACAAGTCGGACCCGTGGTCGAAATTCTGGTGTAAACTGTTACACCTTTGTTTCTGCTATTCAACGTGACTCGAATTCTTTTTTTATTGTTGGAAGAGCGAACGCTAACAAGGTACAGGAAAAACCTGTGGCTGCGGTTGATTTTCGGCTGAGTGGCTGATGTTTCGTTGGAATTGGGCGTTGGTTCGGCTTTGCTGGGAACGGTTGTTCGGAAACGCACCTCGCTTGCCAGCTTGTGCTGCTCGCTAGCTTAGAGGCTCTCTGCAGCTCTTTTCGCATCGGCGCCTCCTCTGTTCAGCCAGTGACAAAGCACAACAATGATGATAATTTAAGCTTTCACCTTTTTTGCTTCTGCATGGCTTGGCGAGGGTGGGATGCATAAGGTTGAGACAAAATCTTGCACCGCCACTACTGGCGGCAAGGAAAGCAAGGGCGGCTTTGAGCGTCTCTCCCTTTTCTCACGCCTCGCACAATTGCGCATTTTCGTCTGCAGCCCCGCTGGCTTCCCCCGTCATTGTCCGCTTGACACACTCCGTCGGGCGCAAGTTGCTGCCCGCTGTAGATGCATGCGATGGGGTGTGTCCATTTAGGCGTCAAGGCAAGTCATTGTTTTGTGCGCACGATGGTCGTATTCGCTGCCCGCTGCGCACTGGGGGTCAAAGCTGCGTAGACAATGAACAGCAGCCGATCTTGACGAAACTCTTGTCATCGTGCTGAAGCTGGAGTGGGACATGGAAAGAAGGCTAAGGATCGACAAGAACGTAGCGACTTGTAACGGTCCAGCTATCATAGTCGTAAAAGCATCTTTGTAAGACAGCTTACCCGTAGCGGGTTCTCCTTGCAGCTATGAGATCTTTGCTTCTTGTTCAGACAGTCCTTGCTGTCGACAAAGAGCTTCCTAGCACGCCAGCATCCCGAAGCTACCCCTTGTGAACACAGGAAAGGAATGCAAGGGGTTTGGAGTATAATGATGAATTCCTATTTTGTTCCTGCCTCACGACTCGGCTCTTCCAAAGCGATGGAAAAGGCACCGCGTGGTGCAGCGGAGCTGCGAAACCCGCGCTTCCCGAGCCCCTTGCTTCACTTTGCGCCCTCGAGGGGCTCCAATCATTGCGATCGGTGTACCGCGGTGAGGCAAGGGGAGGACAAATGCTTACCGGTTGTACCCTCGCAAAGCTTCCACTTAGGCACACAGATCTTGAGGTACAAGCGCCGTTGACGTCCTTAGAGAAGTAGGAAGTGAGACTTGATCTGCAGCGTACTATGGTGAGGGAGTGAAATGGTCGATGGTTATCCAGAGTAGGCTGGTCTCCAGCACGAAACGCTTGCCGCTCATACAGGCAGGCGATTTGGTACTCCGACTCAGATTTTTCAAAAGGACAATGCCCCGAATGCGGGGCGGCGCGCTGACAGGACGCGAATCTCCGGCGTAAGTAATCTGCGAAAAGATCCACCATCCTCCAACGTGGTGGTGATTTCAACGTATCGACCGCGATCCACAACAAGGTTGGCGGCTAGAAGAATATCGCCGGATGCGCACCATCATCTAGTCATGCGAACCGCTAAGCGAGGGTTCTCTGTGTTTTTAACACTTAGACAGGACCAGCACGCTAGTTCGTTGCATGGCTGAGACGGAGCGCAAAAGCGGCTTGATGTTGGCGGAAGTATGAATCGATGCAGATTTGTTGCGATGCTCTCCAAGCAAGCTCATTGACTCTGATCGACGTCGAGAAGGGTAGAGCACGAACAATCTGCTTTTGGCATTCGACAGGAAAATGGTCGCGTCGAATGTCTCGCCTAACTCAACGCGAAGCTCACATGTCCGCCTCGCCTAATCCAACCTCTCATCCACGGATTCGGAAGCGGTTTCCAATAATTCGACAGGATCGAGGATCTAGCTCGAGTATGGCTTTGCGTTCACGACCTTTACGTCTTGATCGTTTGCAACATGGATAGGTAACATGCACTGTATGCATCTAGGGAAGATCCCTTGTCGCTTACCTACACTCCGCCTCCGAATTACTGCGGTCGGTGTTGAAGCAGACACCCGATGTTCCCAATCTTGCGCCAAATCGGTTTCGGCGGTACAGTGTTGCGTTTGTCATCCGATGTCTCATTTTTTTTCCCTTTTGAATCTCCGATGGTGCGGAGAAGTTTGATGGTCTTGTTTGAGTGGATTCGTCACATTCGAGTTCCGAATCAAGATCAATGCAGCGACTCGCTTTCGATCGTATCCTGCTCCACGACGGTGGTCATAGCACAGCAGCGATGATCATGCGGATGGCTGGAGGAAGTTAGTTTTCAACTGCGATCTTTGTTCGTTACGGTACCACCGACTCAACTCCGAAGACAATTGAGAGCGGCAAAGCAACCCAGCACGCTTCGAGAGACAAAGCTGCACAACGTAGCAACCGTGTTGAGAACTGTGCCTCAAGAAGCTACCACGGCTCGTCACGTTGAGGGCCGGATCGAAGTCGACACTGTCATCAGATGCCCCAACGTTCTCGCATCGCGGTAATCGACAACTTTCTCATGCTTCCAAGGACAATCAGATATCGAGGCTCGAGCTTGAAAAGAAAGCGTGGCACAATGGTAAGGTGCTGGCAGAGGAATTTGCTGATCGAACAGGAACAAAGCATTCAACGACCAGGCTTGAGTTCGAGTTCGAGAAGGCCGAAGTCGAGACTCGCAAGAGTCAGGAACCCAAAATCAAGGGTGGCGCTTCGACCTTCAGATCAACAGCCATCTCCCGCTCGAATGCCGCGGTGTCAGGTCTGGTTTTGACTTGTGTGACGCTGCCGTGCGATTTGAGCAAATCCTGATGTGCACAGGTGTGGGTGGCGTCGACAAGCCACACGAAATCATTGTGCGAATTGCAGGACCCTCTTTTTCCTTTTTCCGGCACTGTGGGCTAGTGGGAACGTGATGCTGCAAAACGTCCCAAGCTCTGTATGTGCATACAGACAAAACGGCGAGGGTCGGCAAGAGCTTGGTACGCTCGAACCTCGATCACATGTTCGTATTGATGCGCAGTCCAATGATCGAAGCGGTTCTCGCCTACAAGAAAGAAAACACAATCGACTCGAGTTGCATCAATGAAAGCATTCGGGAAGCTGAAAGTCGAGTCGACGGTCCGAGCTTGGTATGCGATGCCCGCTCTTGTTACCCACGATCGACCCTCGCGTGTGCGTGTGTGTGACGAACACGCAGATGGAATGAACTTCCGTTTGGCTGCAACGCTGTACGCCTAGCTTCCGTTGCGGTGCAACTGCGATGTGGTTTGGCGATGGGTTGCTGGACAACGTCGCGGCGTTCCGACTCCGCTGTATCCAAAAATGGACGGCAGGGTCGGCTGACATGTCGGCAGCATGCGTGTAGGGCTAGCTTTCATATCCGATAAAAACAGCCAGAAAGTCAACACAAGTGTGCCGAGCATCTCACGGCTGAGGACAACCATGCACTGTGATATGAAGCAACGTGAACTCGGTGGGCTCAACCGGATGATCTTCCGGCAAAGGTAGCAGCATACAGTGTCAACTCGCACGCCTCAGTTGTCACCTTTTCGTAGGCAACGACGTGATCGTCGAAAAGTCTCTCGAGAGGTTAATCACATGCACTGCGTTCCTGATCGCTGTTCTTTCAAGCAGTCGAGCCTCGAGAGTGCATTGCGTTGAGCCACAAACACAACGACGATGTGCATCCGTCTACGCCACGCTTTGCGGCGGTCGGGTGGCTCATCGATGCTCGAACGTGCTCCGTGCCTGAAGCATCGAACGTATGCGACGATCCCATCAGTCAAATGCTGCCAAGTCATGGTCGTCTAGTCGATTGGTGGTACCAAATTTTAAACGTTTATTTTGACATAAATAATAAAAATCATTTGGTTCAAGTTGAGCCGTTCCTAGCCGAGATTGCCACGCGGCAGCGGAAAGAGGAACAACGGCAAGCCGATAACGCGCCGAATGGAAATTTTGGTGCCTCACGCCCGTACCTCCTTGCAGACTCGATCTGAACACGCTTGGAGAGACCCGTTCCGCCCGCCACTCGCATGCAGGAGACGCAAAGGCCTCGTCTCGATCATGGTCCCTGCCTTGCGTGGCTTTTCCGAAAGCCTCACAGAGTCCCGAGCTGAACCTTGGATCATGACGGTCGGAAGCTTGACTTCAATGCCTCTGCTCAGCAGCTCGGTGCAAAGGTGTTGGCAAGCCGAGGATCCGGTCAGACGTTCTGCTCGATGAGCTTGTTCATGACGAGCCGGGATCGAAACACGGGTTGCTGCTTGTACAAGGAGGTGTTGGATAGTTGCAACTCCGACCTCAGAGCTCTCTGAAATGATAAAAAAAAACAGGAACGGCTGCTGTGTGGTCCCGCGTTGTGTGCTTGTGCCGTCGACCGCATTCGAATTCTCTTAATTTTGATTTTTCGTGATTGGTGGTGGCTGCTATGCTTGGGGTTGATTGCTTTTGTGCAGTGTATGCTGCATGAAAACGCCTCAGTTTCTTGTCTCTTGGTGCTCGTACAGGAACCTTGCATCGTTTGCACCCACGCCCTGCCAGTTGGTCTGCTTTCCCACACTAGCTTCACTCTGTTCTGTGCCACACACACACCACACACACACCGACTTGGCTGGCAGCGGCTCGTCCGAGATTTGCTTCGTCGCCTTACGGGCTGAATCTCGCTGTCTCCCCCCCTTCCTCCGCTCCGTGGCTTTTGTCCGTCCTCATTGTTCCAGCTGCCACATCGCCTGTCAGCAATTAATTGTACTGTCACTCCTTTTTTTTTCGTACCCAGCGCCTCAGCGCAACGCTCGCTACCCCCGCCACTTTCCATTCTCCTCACTCCGCCAGGCAGCCAGACAGACAGCCAGCGGAGCGGCTATCGTCGTTGATACACCCGCGTCCATCGCAGCTCTCTGCCCCTGCTTTTGGATTCGATTGCTATTCTCCCCCTTGCCTCGCTTCCGGCGCCTTGGTTCCTGTGGACCACGCGAGCCACGGTAAAGCCTCTCTCTCACGCCAAGTTAAGCGACGTTCTGCGGTCGCAGACTCTCTCTTCCACCTTGCTCTCGAATCACTACAAAAGCCAACTTCGGTGTAGCCGCGACCCTTTGTCCCCGTCTCAGGTCCCTCCTCCTCCTACACCCTCCTCGTCTCCATCACCTCACGCTCTTTGCCCTCCTGGTCGTTGGTTCCATCTTGCATCCCGTCTCTCATCCTCTCCTCATCGTTTCCGCCATCAACTGCTCCGTCTCTGCTACATCTCGCCTGTCATCGCTGCTTTCAAGTGGTCCAACGTATCGTCCTTCTGCGCAAAGTTGTGACGTGAACTGCATTCCAACACATTCCCGCCGACACCTCGACGCCGCTTCGGAGGACTTTCATCACGGCTTCGGCGCTCGGCTTCGAACAGCCACAGGCAGCCTCGTTCTTCGCCCAGAATGGATGGCCTTCATCAGCTTGTGCCTCGCGGGCTCTACATGGAGCCCGTCTTGCCCAGTGGCGTTAACACGAGCAGTAGGTATCTCCTTGTGCTCTACTCGCATGCCTTCTCATCACAACCCGTGTACTGACGTCCCAATCTCGCTCTCGTTGCGCCCTCCCTCTTCGACAGACCTCACAGCCGTAGCTGAATACTATGTCACCCACCGCATCCCTCAACGCTTCAACCCGGGCATCGTCGTCGCCTCGATCGCCGTCTCGGCGCTCGGCTCCTACTCTACCCTCCTCCTCCTCGGCAAGCGTACCTCCAACAAGGGCAAGCGTAACATTTTCCTCCTCTCCTTCGCCGCCACCACCATGGCTGCCGTCGGTATCTGGGGCATGCACTTTATCGGAATGCACATGAGCCTTCGTCCCGTCGCAGGCGTCAGCTGGTACATCAAGGTCGACCCCGGATTCACCGTGCTCAGTCTCTTCGTCCCTATCATCGCCCTCCATGCCGCGTTCTTCATCGTCGACGCCGCCATCTCGTTCAGCTTTGTCCGCACCACCATCTCGGGTGTGCTCACCGGTCTCATCGTCAGCCTCATGCACTACTCGGCCTCGCTCAAGACCAACTATGCGGTGAGCTACAGTCCGACCCTGGTCACCATTTCGATCGTTGTGGCGTGTGTCGCTTCGACTGTCGCCTTGACTGGCTTCTTCAAGTTCAGGGCGCAGTGGGAGGACTCCTGGTGGAAGCGTATGCTGTGCGCGTTCATCTTGGCCGCCGCCGTCTCGGGTATGCACTATATTGGTGTTTGGGGCACCAGCTACAAGGTCAAGGCGTCTACGGTTACGGGTGCCAACGAGATCAGTCTGTTGACCGGTCGTCAGCGCAACAACGTTCTCGTCATCGCCATCGGTTGCATGTGCTTCGTCATCATCTGCCTTTCAATCTTCATCGCCGTCTCGGACATGCTGATCGTTCGAGATGCCAGGCGAAAATCCAAGAAGGTCGTCGTCTGCTCGGCCACCTTCGACAAGCAGGGTCGTCTGCTCGTCAAGCCCGACGGTACCATGCCGCTCATGATCATCGAGACGGACGTCAACACGCGCGACATCCTGGACGCGCTGGACAACCGTCAGCCCACCTTCCAGTGGCTCTACTCGCTTTCGTGGGACTGGGCCATCATCGCGCCCTGGCTCCGCGCCATCACCACGCGCTTCGCGGCCGAGACGCAGCAGGCGCAGCGCAACGAGGCCATCTGGAAGAACCGCGGCAAGAAGATGATTGCGCAGGGCAGACGATCCCTGGACATTTCGGAGGATCGTCGCAAGGGCCCTCAGAGCCTGGCGGATTTCCGCGATCGTTTCATCGACGCTGCGTTCCACTTGGCGCAGGAGCTCGACATTCCTTTCGAGGAGATCGGAGTTCTGTACGATCACGTTCTCCCCACGGGCACGCGTAACAACGGAAGCAGCGGCAACAACAACAACGTCGTGACGGACAAGTTTACGCCTTCGCGTCAGTTTGCCGACGACGAGAGCTCCATCAACGGTCCCGTTCCGAGCATCTTTGGCGAGGGCAACGATCAAGAGGAAGGTGCTATGCTGTTCCTCGTGCGCGAGCTGCCCAACTCTGCCGCCTCGACCGAACGTTTCCGCCAGATGGGCTACCGCATGACCGAAACGCGCTTCCTCGCCGGCGTCCTCGCCGACCGCGTCTCGATCCAGAAGGAAGAGATGGAGCCGCTGCTCGATTCGCTCAAGGTGTACGCCAAGCGCGGCACGCGCCCCGTCGTGCAGCCCTCGGGAGTCTACTGCGGTCTGTTCGGCGTCCGCGCCTCCACCAGCAAGGAGGGCGGACTCGACGTGCTCGTCTACAACTTTGCTCGTCACCAGATCCCCGCGTACCGTCTTCCGGACGTCTCGTGCATCACGCCCGAGATGAAGACGTTCCTCGGATCGCTCGACCAGGCGACGATGGAGGACGCCATGAAGGTGTGCGAGCGCGAATCGATTCGTTCGGGAGAACGACGCAAGTACCTCCAGTCGATCTCGTCGGTCAACGTCGCCGACAACCACGACAACGAGGCCGAGCAGGAAGCCGTTGAGCTCATGATTCAGTTCCAGACCGCGCTGTTCATCGCGCTGGATGCGCTGCACAACTCGGTGCGATTCTATCCGAAGATCTGCCAGACCGCCAGGATCAGCGCAGAGGTGCTCGAGGTGCCTTCCAGCTTGGACGATTCGACCGCACCTGCCGAGATGATCCTCGTTCAAGCGGTGCTGCCGGAAGCCAGGAGCGCCGGAAGCAACTACCACGATGGCAGTGTACAGCACACCGCAACGGGCCAGGCGGGACAGGACATTGTACCCACGGACAAACCCAGCTCGGCGACACCCTTCGTGTTCGTCCCCTACACGCTCTTCAGCAAGTCGCAGATGATGCTGCTGCGAGGCAGACAGGCGGACGACTTTGAACACGAGGTGATCCTCGAGATGCGACGCAGATATCCGTCTTCGCTGCAGAGCGAGGCTGAGGAGAAGGGCCTGTTCGAACCGGCACCCGCAAATGTCGCTGGAAGGCTGGGACGCAAGGAATCGTTCGTCGTTTCGAGTCCCACCGCGAGGTTCGGGAAGGGTTACGCGGGGAGTGACGACGATGACAAGTTGGAGACCAGCAGCAAGTTCAGCGATGATCATCCGACGTCGCCCGTTACGAACAAGGTGAACCTGCTGCCGAGTGGAAAGAGGTGGGTTGGGGATGAGGAACCGACGGGATTGTCACCGGCAAGGAGGCAGTCGGTTACGAGTTCCAAGTCGAGGCACACGAACGAGGATCACGAGATGAAGCAGATGAACGAGCGACCCGCAGCTCCCGCTCGCAGGTACTCGCCTGCTGGTCAACAGGATCCTGCCGACGCCATCACCGAGGAGGCCAACTCGATCGTCTCGGTCGATCCTGAAGCACCGACCACCATGCGCGAGGCTGCAACCACCGCGTTCGGTCAACCCACCCGCCAGGCATCGCGACCCTCCACTGCTCCCGCCAACGTCATCCGTCGCGAACTCAACTTCCTCCGTCCCTCCTCCTCCGGTCACCACTCCGCCCTCGCACAGCAAAGACCCATCACAGCAAGTCAGAGACAGAGGAGGAACCGAACCGCCCTGTCACCCACCGACGAGGGAAGTCACCTGGCTAGGCTCCAGAGCGACGGCTGGCATACGAGGCAGATTCAGAGCTTGGAGAGGAGCCCCGCGGGTACGGCGCTGCTGGGCGTGGATTTTTGAGTTGAGTGAAAAGCTTCTGGTTAACATACACGCATTCTGGGCTTCTCGTCATGAGAAATTCGTCATTCTTTACCAATCATATGAGTCGGGTGTGAGTGAATGGACTGAAGAATGATGGTGAGCGATGCAGGGAACAAGTGAATTCAGTGCTGCGCTCGGTTAGCTTTATGCCTTGATGAATCGGAGAAATATTGGGACGTGCTGGCGTCTCAATCGTAGGAAAGAGCCACTGAACGACACCTCAGGACGACTGTTCTCGTCCAACGGTCACACCATTCCGCAGCCGCACACACACAACTCACACCAAAAAGATCCTATTCAACCACTTCTCGAGCTTGTCGACAAGCGTTTGCATTTCATGGCGTCTGTACAACTGTGCCGACACTACGACTGATCTCCACCACTGCTACCGCTCCCGATCTCGGCAGAAACACATTCCACCAGGGATGAGATGAGATTACCCAAAACACCATTGCCTCCCTTCGCACTTGAAGGCTGCCCCGCCAAATTTGGCGATGTAAACGGCGCAAGCGAGATAAGCAGCGCTCGTCGGAGATCCCATACTGCCGCTGCGCCGCGTGCCGACGATGCGGTCTGGATGCCGGCTTGGACCTTGCGCAAGACCTGCTCGATGTTGGGTATCGGCTGGAACTGCCTTCCTGTGAGCGTGGCTTCGTTCGACATGGCAGCAGAGATGCGGGGCTTTTGCGATGCCTTCGAATCCTCGCCCTCGGCGGTGTTCGCAACCGCTTTCCCTGCTAGCAAGCCGTTGAGCAGTTCCGAGCCCGCAAACAAGCCCGTCTCCGCGTTTGCACCCGCGTCCGGGCTGACTGCGTCGCCATCCTGCTTTTGTATCTCGCTACGAAACAGCGGCCGCGAAGCATCCGACACAATCAGCCTTGATCGAGTCGCCATCCTCAGGTCCACCGCAAAGCGATCCTTGAAACGCAGCCTGAACCATGTAGCGCCTTTGATCTCTACCTCGGGCACGTCCGCGTCCGTCAAGCATCTTTCGACTAGCGGCGCCATTTCGCGTGCCAGTGGCAGTGTGTCCTGCAATAGCTGGAAGAAGCCTTTCCAAACCATGCGTTCCGACTGCGGTTGGACCACGGAATGGATCGCGGCTGAACGGGCCGCTACGTTGACGGTGCGTCTCAGCTCGAACGCCATGGCGTTGTGTGGGTTGGCCGAAGCGTGGGCGTCGTCGAACCAGTTTGGAGAGTCTTTGACCCTCTGTGCTGCATCCCTATCGAAGACGTCTAAACCTGCCGTTGGAATCGAACCAAACTCCAAAATGTAGCCACCCATCTGCGTTGTCGTCAAATTGGTGAAGGGCTGTATTTCCATCTTTGCATCCTGCCATCGCACTCTCACCAACAGCTTGCACTCCGAGCCGTTCACGACGGTGTTCCCGTACGAGAATATGACCTTGTCAAAGTCAAAGCATCGGAGCTCGACCCGTTCAGCAGGCTTCTTGCAGCTGACTCGGGAGCGCAGCGCACGTTGCTGCCACGCTCGACTGGCATTGAGCACCTCGCGCGTGATCAGCACCATTCGCATGGCCCGCTCCCATTGCGTGTAGAGAGTGAGGATGCAGTTGTCCAGATCGCGAGTAGACAGTGTCAGCAGCGATGTCTCGCTGTCAAAGTCGATCCAGGTCAGCGCAGAGCTAGAATGTTGGTCGGCGGTAGGGGCGAGCGACACCACCTCGTGCAGCGATCTAAACCGACGTGACTTCATGCGCAACTTTATGCGCATTTGAACGCAAGACCTGTCGCTGTCGTCCCAGTTGCGTACGCGTAGCGAGACGTTGGGCTTTGCGAGGTGCGCTTTGGCCGGACCAAGTAGATCTGCGGCACGAAGACAGAGTGATGGCACAAGCGCCGCAACACCGTTTCTTTCACCTCCCTGGGTGGCCTCATCGTCGCTGTGGGCAGGAGTGACGTCCGCCATCGCGTGTAGAGCCGCGGCGGCATCGAAATTACCATCGTCGTCAAAGAGGCCGTCATCGCGGGCCTCTGCGGCTTGAACCGCTCTATCAGCAGAACGTCGTCGCTTTTGCAGTTTGGCGGGTGGGGACGACCGCAAAGTGTTGCTGCCAACGTGCAGATATGGGATTCCGCGCAAACGCAGCTGCTGCTCGACACGGAAGTAAGAAACAAGAGCGATACAGTACGAGTGGACGTCTGCGAGCTCTTCCGTGGTCAGATTCTTCTGTACGAGATCGGGGTCGCTCTGTCGAGCCGAAATGCTTGGCGCCCCCTTGCGCTTTCGTCCATCTTCACGATTCATTGTTCCGGCATCGATGTCGTTGTCACGTCCGGCTTCGGACGCAGCAGCGGCGATCTTGGACCTGTCTAGCCATTCGATCGACTGCAGAGCGAGAGATGGAACGCCCGTCGCATCCAAGGTCTGCGCAATGTAGACCAGAGCAATGCCGACGCCAGCCAATTCGGAAGGCTGCAAAGCCAGAAAGTAGCCGGGAAAGCTGTTGCGCAGCGGCACGAAGAGTCGGGGCACTGCCTCTGGTGATGTCGACACCGAAGGGCCAAACTTGGCCAAGTCCTGCGGCCGTAAAGCGAGCTTGCGAACGGCGCGAAGACCAAGATGGGATGACATACGTTCCCACTCTTCGACACGAGCAAACACTTCGAGCTTGTACAGAACGTCAAAGACGGCTTCGATCGATTCGTTGATGCGGTCGGATGCTTCGGTCAGACGAGAGTAGGTGGCACGCGTTGTCAAGATCGACGCTGTGAAGCCAGCCGCTTGCCGAGACAGCATTTGTGTATCCTGGTCCGTCGTGGACCGGGTCGTTTCCGAGTGGAGAAGCAAGCGTCCGGTCACTGGATCAACGCTGAGGCGAAGTGCAGGAACGGACGAGGTCGAGCGCTGCTTGAGCTTGGCGCCGCGCTGATGGTGGCTGCCTTGCAACGCTATCTGCAGGAAACTGAAGCTGGTCATCTCTGTAGCTGTGGAGAACTCGTCGCCTTGCCTCTGAGAATGCTCTTCTGAAAGAGTGCAATCCTCCGGGCGGAGCAGGCGAGAGACTGGATGCTCGCTGACGAGGATGCGACGGTGCAGGTTGCGCAACAACGCCAGGGTATGGCGCTTGATGACCAAGCTTAGCAGAGACTCGATGTCCAGACTGCTGGACGATACGGCGAGGTCGTGTGTCTCGGAATCAGCGAGGATGCTCTTCTCGGCATTCCAGGTGACCTGGAGCCCCCTTCGCTTGACGGTGATGAGGCTGGCCGTTTCATTTGCTTTGCTTGACTCCTCGTCCCCCTCGTCGAACATTGCGGCGAGAGCCTTTTTGGCGCCTGGCTGATCCGGGAGATCCACGATAGTGATTTGAACGCTGCCTCCAGCAGCAGGACCCTCTGCGCGTCCTTTTGCGCCAGCTGCGCCCTGAGCCTGGGTCCAGTAATAGACGGTGAGCCTCCTCGGACGCTCTCCCGTCTCGATGCGGAGGTTGGTACCCCAGTTGAGTCGACAAAGCTCGAAGGCTTGATGTTGTAGAACATCCATCTGGTAGTGCAGAGATCGCTCTTGCAAGAATGCAAATAATCTGGCAAGGGGTGCGTCGCGCTCGACCGTGTGCTTGACAGTGGCCAAATCATCCTTGTCTATGTCTTTTGGAATGTCCGAGTCCTTGCCCTCGATCAAGGCGGTTGTCTTTTCGACCGCATCCTGCGCATCCGCTCCCACCTCGATCTCTGTGGCACCTGTTTCAAGCGGCACCGACTTGGACTCGTCGTTGCTTTCGCTTTGCGCTCTAGGTGCAAGCTCTCGATCTCCCCACACACGGAGACGTTCCCGGAATGCTCTCTTTGGCTTGCGTGGGAAGGACTTTCGACTCGACTCGGCGCAGGAGCCTGTTGGGGTAAAGTCAAAGCTGAGATCGAGCAGCCACCACCTATCGTCAGATGAAGGTGGTGTCGGCTCATCGGAGCGATGATTGACTGTCTCGTCCTGCCCTGCACCGCTTGCTGCAAGCTGGGCATCAAAAAAGTCAGGGACGTGGAAGTGCACCTTGCCGTCGTGAATGGAGTAATTGGACAGAGGCGCAGGAACGAGCTCGCGGCAGGCCATGCGGGTGCGGAGGGCATCTTCGAGCCGCGTGACGATGGCTAGCGCTTGTTGGTCGGTGAAAGGTTTCGGCGCGACGGCCATGTCCTTGATGCTGGCAGGAAGTCTTCGATAGGAGCCGGTTTGCAGGACATCGATGGCTGTTGGGAGGTCGGCATTCCTCATGCGTGCGTTGGGCAAGATCTTGCGAATGTCGGTGAGACCGGCAAAGACGTCCTCGTGCTGCCATTGCTGTTCGGAGAGGAGTGCGATGATGTTTCTCGACTTGTTGAGATCAGCGACATCTTTTGACCAGCGTGCGAGTACAAGAAGCTTGATAAACTGTTTGCGGACATCGAGAGCTGTGTTGAAAATCTTTGCACGTTTGGATGAAGATGGCAACGACGGGAGCGTCTCGGCGAGATTCTGAAGCGACTCGTAGCCAAAGTTGGCGAGTCGCTCGACGAGGGCAGCAAGTGAGACGAGATCGGCCTCTTCGAGGGGCAGCTCCTGCTCTAGCTGGGCGAGAGGAATGGCCTCGATAGGGTCGACCTCCTTCTGTTTACCTTTTACATCAGCGGCTGCAGCAGTAGTGGTGGTGCTGCTAGCGATGCCATTTGACTGCCTGGTATCGTGAACGCCGTTTGATACAGACGAGAGGTTTGGAGTAGCTGCTGGTGGAACTCCTATCATGAGCTTGTGAGGGGAGGACGCCATTTGCTTGTTCCTATCAACAGCCGCAGATGGCGAGGCAGCGTGATAGTGAACGCTACCGTTGGACGCCATGATGGGCTGTGTGTGCGCGAGCGATGGAGGCCGAGATGAAGCGGGGCTGGAACGACCAATTTGTTTCACATGCTGATGCGGGGTAGAAGTGTTGGCGCCATACGGAGACAATGGCATGCGCTGCTCGAGGCGGTGATCGTTGGTGGTGGACGGTGGCAGTCGGTGCTACCGATACGAGATGCGTGGCGTCGAGATGCGTGGTGTTCAACGAGGGGATCGCACGACTAGACTCGGTCGGATGATCGCCGCTGAGTGAGTGCGACAAAGAACGGCAAGGCGAGGAAAGCAAGACTGGCAATCGTGTCGTCGGCTACAAAGGCGTTCTGATGACTGCGTTTCGTGGGACGCTTGAATGTACGTCGTGTGCTTTGAGAGCGCGGTACTGTGGAGCTGACGGTGAGGGATCGGCGAATCGGATAGCTGCCGTTGCGATGGTCGGGGGCGACCAACAGAGGCGTAAAATGAAGCTTCGCTGCACAGCAACCGAATGCGTGCAGCCGAAATGAACGGACAGAGACGGCACAGCGGCAGGGCGGCTGGCTCGTCAGTCGTGTCGATCACAAAGGATGTAGTAGTGTGATGAAGGGGGCGGAGAGGACGAAAGGATGGTGGAGATGACGACGAGTCGTTGAGATGGTGCAGCAAAGCAGCTGGCTCAAGCGAAGCCAAAGTCTTCTCAGACAATGGCAGCCAAGGCAGAATGCAGTGTCGCGGTCGAGCTGTTGGGCCACACGTAAATTAATTTAGATCTGGATTAAAAAAAAAACAATTAAAGAGAAAAGGTAGGATTGAGACGCCTTGCTCTGTTCAGATGCCACTGCAATCCGAACATTCTCGCTTCCGGCTCGGTCTGTGACTGCAAGCGTTGCAGGCCATCTTCCATTTCCATTGCGACCATCTTCAATATTATTTTTATGTTTGTCAAAAAGCGGCTGCAACTGTCTGACAGATTGCTTTTTGATTGTCATACTCCGTACACCGTAAGGTATTTCAAAGACGGCCAAAAGGGGCAGACGATGAGCCGAGTTGCTTTCTACTCACGCTGTTGAGCTTCGTCTCGTAGCATGAGTCTGAACTGCAGCTGTTAGAAGAGGGCATTGTCGACTGTAGCGGGTTCCAAACCGAGCTCGAACCTTGTGAGCCGGCGACAGGCCAAGTTAGTTATCGGCCTCCACAGAACAATGAAAAGTAGTGTGTGCCTGCGTATCGACGACGTTTCTCAGTGAGCTAGCCTTTCCACACATCAAGCTGCACTTCTAGCAGCTTGACTGTGTCGATGAAGTCTTGAAGAGAGGTAGGAGCTTTACAAGCATCTGCAGCCCGCCCATGCGTTGTGCAAGGGACAATGAGGTGCTATACCTATAACTTAGAGCCAAGCCGTTTGGAAGAATCCGAAATGCCAACGCGGCTTCGAAGCGTTGGTGCTCAGGCTAAGCCGCAAATCCTCTGCTTAGCATCGGGAGGCACAACAGGGATTCGCGCACCGATGCACTTCCTTCTCACGCACGCGCCTGTTTGACTCAATTTCGGAAGCCAGCGTTTCAGCGACCTGTGTGTCACTTTCAGGGTCTCGACTGCCTTTCACTGTCTCACGGTCGTCGCTTCTCCATATCACGGCTTCGGCTTCGATCCGACTACGCCTGAAAGAGAAGGCGCATACCACCGTAGCAGCAGCAACGTACTTGGCTGGCTCAGCTTGACTGGAGCTGGCTCGCACTGAGCCATGGACTACTTCAAATCGCTCAGCTCGGCCGCCTCGTCGGTGCTCTCGTCCGCAGCAAGATCGGGTCCTCTTCCCAACTTCACCATCGGCCAAGAGATCGGCGAGTACCGCCAGCAGACACTCTGGTCACTCTATTCAGCGGTCAAGCGTGACGACAATGCTGCCTGCACAGTGCTCGCCTTTGACCTTTCCCATCCTCACAATGCAAGCCGCGCCAATCTTCTCCCGCTCGCAAAGAACGCCGCCAGGAAGCTCCGCATCACTCGCCATCCCGACGTGCTCAAGCTGCTCGACAGCGCAGAAACCAACACCTCCGTCTACATTGCTGTCGAAAAGGCGACGCCGCTGTACAAGGTGCTTGCGCAATCCGAAGACAAGCGTGCCACTCCTCAGCGTCAAGACTGGATCGTCTGGGGCCTTTCCTCGATCGTCAACGCCGTCAAATTCCTCAACGTCGATGCCGCTTCCACCCATGGCAACCTTCGGCCCGAGTCCATCTTCATCAGCGCATCAGGCGAGTGGAAGCTGGGTGGGTTCGACGTCTTGACACCCAATGCCGAAGCCCCGCACGGCCTCCTCTTCACCCAAGGCTCCTTGATACCCGACGGCAACCGATATGCGCCCCCCGAACTCAAGCAGAATGGCTGGAACGTCTTGGCAAACATGGACTCGACCTTGTTCGACAGCTACGCGCTCGCCCTCGTGGCCATCGAGGCGTTCAACGGACCCTTACCACCCCAGAACGGCACGGCTGCCCCTCCAAGAGGTCACGTACCGCAGCAGCTCTATGCTGCGTTGCAGCGCATGCTCGTCCCCAACGCAAAAACGCGCAACACGGTAGTCCGAATCTGGGAAGCAGGCGAGGCCGAAGGTGGTTTCTTCAAGGAAAACACGCTCGTCAAGGTGGCAAGAGGTCTCGACGGCTTCCTGCTGGCGACCGAAAACGAAAAGGCCTCGATCATCAAGCTCTTGCAAGAAAAGCCCGACTCGTTCACTCCGGATTTCCTCATGTACAAGGTCCTCCCAGCGCTGGTCGCAGCTCTCGCTGCCGTGCCTCCGCCTGGTACTATTCCATCCGCCAGCACGCAAGCTTCCGTTTTGCTGCCCTTGGTGCTTCGTCTCGGTCAGCCTTTGCCAAAGGAAGAATGGAACGTCAGCGTGGTGCCTCCGGTGCTTAAAGCGTTTACATCTCCCGACCGATCCACACGTATGGCTTTGCTCGAGAACCTGTCCCTCTACGCTGAACGCATGGACAACCGGATCGTCACAGACAAGCTTTGGCCGAACCTCATCACGGGCTTCAACGATTCGGTGCCCGTCATCAGAGAAGCTACTCTCAAAGCCATCCTCCCACTTGCACCAAAGCTCTCGGACCGTATCCTCAACAACGACTTGCTGCGTGTCCTCGCACGTACTCAGGTGGATCCGGAAGCAGGCATCCGTACCAACACCACCATCTTGCTCGGTCGGCTCGTACCGCACCTATCCATATCAACGCGCAAAAAGGTTCTTATTCCCGCATTTTCGCGCAGTCTCAAGGACCAATTTGTGCACGCCCGTGTTGCAGGTCTCATGGCTTTGATGGCGACAGGCGACTCGTTCGATCACGAGGATTGCGCAAGACACGTGCTCCCCGCCGTCACTCCCTGCATGGTGGACAAGGAGAAGCTCGTTCGTGACCAGGCAGACAAGGCGGTCAAGATGTTCCTCGAGAAGGTCGAGTCTGGAAGGACGGGCATGCCCGATACAGCGCTCACTCCCGAGCAGCTCAATGGATCGACGTCGTTCAGCGCACAAGGTGATGCAGCAGCGAACGGTGCGGGGTATGCCACCGCCATGGCTGCAACGGCGGGCAGCGCAGCGACAGCGTTGGCGGGATGGGCTATGACTTCGGCGCTCTCATCGCTCTCCAACTCCTCATCCGCACCGACCGTACCAAATGGAAAGCCGCTTTCTTCTGCTGCAGAATTGCAGTCTCAGATGGATGGACGCAGTAGCACACCAATTGGATCCGCAGGCGTCTCGGCAACACCATCGCCGTCTACCCAACCATCTCCCTCCTCCGGCTTTGCGAGTCTTCGACTCGGTTCCGGCTCGGCCGCGACCGATGCGGACTCCAACAGCTGGGCACAAGATTCGTACACTTCGGCCAAGTCACCACTCGACTATGATCTTGACGATGACGCAACTGCGCCATCCGCTTCCGCTGCTTCCGCTGCTTCCGCGTTCCAAATGCAGTCGGCAGCTTCAGATGCCGACCTAATGGATGTCAATGACGACACTGCCGATTGGTCAAGTTTCGAAGTAGGTCAACCAAAGAAGAAGCCCACCGTCGGACGCACCAAGATGGCGAAAGCGAAATTGGGACCTCGACGAACTGCCAGCAACAATGCTGCTACCGCAGCTGCGAGGGCGGCGGTGCAAGCGGATCCCAAACAAGCCATCAGTCGAAGCAGTCTGAAAGTTGCTGCCCCAGTGGAAGCGGAAGAAGCGTGGGGAGAGGACGCTTGGGACAACGCCGCAAAAGCTACGGAGGCGGTAGAAGGTGGGTCGGCGTCTCAGTCGACGACGTCGTTGGTGGATTCGCAGGAGCTCACAGCGCAAGCGTTTGAAGCGCCTGTACCCAAGGATATTGCTGCGGCCCCGCAGGCAGACGACGCGTGGGCAGCATTCGACGATAATGCAGAGGAGGAGGAAGATGCGTCCCCAGCAGCGGTAGTGGTAGCAGCGGTGGCAGCGCCCATGTCCAAGGAAGAGAAGAAGGCGGAACTCGAGAGGAAGAGGAACGAGAGGAAGTTGAGATTGGAACAGCTGAAGAAGGAGAAGGAGGAAGCGAGACTGCGGGCGCTTTGAAGTGGTGGTGACTCAGCAGCGACTGTTGGCGGCACGGGCAGGGAAGGAATGACAGTTGTTGGAGGAGACTTTATGATTGTGAATGCTGATCACAAGTGGGTATGATTTGAGGAGAGAAGCATTTCGTCGTTTAACACTATGGAGCATCGACGGGTGCAGGCAACTGAGTTTTGGCCTTTGCGAACCTTTCCTGTGCAGCCTCTTTCCCACTAGGGCCACCATGACCAACTCCATACTCTCCCACCACATACTCGCCTGCTCCCGCACTCGTTCCCTGCTCACCCTCTCCACCGCTCAACCTATCCAAGTCTTCCATCACCTTCTGTTCCCTTGCGCGTCGTCGGAAAGCGTTCCATCTCTGTCTACCCTCTTCGCTCCTCGCAGCTTCTCTAGCGTCGTTGAGACTCTTTGCAGCGTCCAGGTGTGACTTGTCGGCTCTTTCGATTGCTTTTGCGCTTTGGAGAGAGAGTCTGGAATATTGAAGACCTGCTAGTAGCCAGGTGAGGAGGAAAAGGGAGGTGATGAAGATACCGTTCGAGGTGTATTGACCGTTACCGCCGTTCCAACCTGCCGAACCGTGGTGGGAATGGTGAGGGGAAAAGTGCGGGTTGTAGAAGGTTTGATTTTGCCAACCGAAACGGTCGTGACCTGGACCTGTGTAGGAAGGGTTGTAACGACGCGTGTAGCGATGATCTTTCCAAAGATCGGAAGGGTTGGTGGAAAGAGTGGAGGTGGAGGAATTCCAGCCGATGCCAGCACGATCGTAGAGCTGTTTGGTGTGGGGATCTTTGAGAAGGTTGTAGGCGGAGATGATGGATTTGAACTCTTCCTCGGCGGAAGCTTTGGTTTTGGTGGAACTGGAATGCGGGAATCGGTCGGGATGACAGGTTCGGACTAGATCGTAGTAGCGAGATTTGATCTCGGAAAATGTGACGGTTCGAGACGGGAAGTGGAATATGTCGTAAGGTGTCGGGTTGGTGAGGTGGGTGGGATAAGAGAGGTCTGTGTCGGATGATGTGGAAGATCGAGCTCGTGCGTTGGGATGCGATGTGGATGAGAAGGACCGATTGCGAGGGATCAGCAAAGAGGCTCGAGATGGGAGCAGCCAGCTCGGTGGAAGAGTTTGAGCCAGCAATAAGGCCTCGGTCGGACGACGAGATGAGACAGCTCGTCGTATTGGTGCGGCGGCGTTGCGAGTGGTGAGACCGGATGTCAGGCGGCTAGAAGATGCACCGATGCTTCTTGAACCAGAAGCCACAGCTGACGAACGGAACGACATGTCTTCCACTTCACCATGGAGACCGCAGCATCGAGGTTCTCGTGTAAGTCCTTGGAGCGGTCGGTAGACGCAGCCAGTACCTGACGTTGTCAAAGATGCGTGATTGCCGATGCGAACGTTGTCGGCTTCTACTGTCCGTTGATTACGACCATGTCTTCCCTATCTAGATACAGCTCCGTATACGTTCGTTCGCTCTGCGCTCAAGTCGTCTCGAGTGGTTCCCTCAACAGCGCCGGAGGGAAGGTGTCGATGATGGTAGTCAATCGAAGAAAGCCTCCATTGGACCCCGCACCTTTGATTCCGAGCTGCACGCTTAGCCTAAGTTGCATATTCCTTGTCGGCGACTTTCTGTATGGCGGGCAGCCTAACAGACACAACTTAATTTCGGTGCCTTCTTCCCGCATCCCTAGTCGCGCGTGACGTTCCATCAGCTGCCGAGGCCTTCTCGCCCGATAGGATACGTCTTTCCTCAACACTGAGACACGAATCGCAGAAAGAGAACATACAAACGTCGACAGGAAGAATGGGATAATGGACGAGGACAAAGCACGATGACTTGCTCCTAGAATGATTTTTCTGATACATATACACATGATAGAAAAGGGAAAGATGATCTGCTGGAACATGGATCTAGCAGCAGTACTTTTGGGCAGGGGGGAGTGGGGGAGCGGCTAGACTGGCAGAAGGAATAGAGAGAGGAAACGAGGGCGAGAGCGATGCATTCAGCGCTCCTAGACCTTTTGCCCGAGAGCCTGGAACTGCTGTGCACGACCACGTCCACGTCCACGGCCGCGCGCTGCCGAACCACCTCTCCTCTCCCTCCTCCCACCAGCCTGACCTCCCTCGCGATCGCCCCTCTCACCTCCGCCGCTCCTCTGCTCCTTGCCTTCGCCCAGCTTGGCGTCCAACAGCCTCTCGTTCTGCTCCAACATCGAGTTGGCCTTGTCAGCGAGCGTCGCTGCCAACTGCTGCACCTTGGTCAGCTCCAGCCTGTGGAACGAAACCACGTTGGCCGAAGGGTCGAGCGAAGCCGCCAACTCGTCGTTGTAGATCATCTTGCTCACCATGGCCTTGACCAACTTCTCCTCGACATCGAACGTCGCTGCCAGGTGCGAGAGCGAGACAGACTCGTAGTAGGCAGAGTACGAGAACAGATAAGTTCGCAGTCCGACCTCCTGGATGCGTTTGGCGAGCATCGCCTTGACGTCTTCGGAGCCGGGCAGGAGCTTCCAGATCTTGATCTCGGCGATTAGGTCGATGCACGCCTTGCAGTCGCCGTTCTGGAGAGCCTTGCATGCCTGCATGATGTGGTCGCGCGTGTTCTCGGGAGGGCCCGAAAACACTTGACGGTCAGTGTAGTCGAGCATGCGACGGAAGGGTCGCGAGATGACGCGCTTGCGCAGCTCGGGGTCGTTGCCCGCAAGAGCCATGTTGGGCACTTCGAGCAACATGGACGAGATGAGGTAGATGCACTCGAGCAGCTCGAGGTTAATGTGCATGTGGAAGGGAAGCTGACGCTGACGCTCGAGCTTCTCCTGTTCGGGTGTGATCGTGCTGAACTGGTTCTGCTTCTGAACACCCTGTGCGAGCAACTCCTTGACACGCCCCGTGGCAAAGATCTCTTGCAGCGCAACCTGCGACTCCTTGATGAGGCCGTTGCGGAAGGCGCAGATGCCGATCTGGACCACCACGCGGTTGTAGAGGATCTGAGTGGCGACGTCGGCGAGCTGGATGGCGTCCTGCAGGTGAGACATCAAGAACATGTCGCGCGCGACGTGGTAGTCGGCGTGAAGCGCATGGAAGTAGATGTGGCAGAGGACGGCGCGTGTTCGTGGTCGCTCGGCCTGCACACCACGAGCCTGGTAGAGGTAAGTGCACAGAGCGCGCACAAGCACGGCGGGGCCGTCCTGCTCGGCGACACGAGAGGCAGGGGGGAACAGCTTCGACTCGGACGTCTTGGCGGCCTCGCCGAGCGTCGATTCGAGCGCCTTGATGATGACGTCCTGCTTGGCGTAGACGTGGTCGAGACGACGCATGGTGCAGCGCGAGAGGGCCTCGGTCTCGGACTGGCTCTCAAAGTATCCCTGTGCGAGCACGATGGTCTCGTAGAGCTTCTTTTCGTCGCACAGTCGGTCGACGTATTCGGTGGTGTGAGGGTCGATGTTTTGCAAGCTCTTGGTGAACTCGTCGTCGAGACGGTCGACAAAGCTGATGATGCTGCCGCGCACGGCAACGGTGTCCTTCTCGCCGTTCTGACCGGGGACGCGCTCCACCTCGTCGTCGTAGTCCTCCGTCTCCTCACGCACAACGTAGCTGCGGTTCTTGCTGAGCAGCGCGAGAATCTCGTTAATCTCTTTGCGTGCCGAGTCCCACATCTCGACGGGCATGTAGGCGGTGGCCGATGCGTTGTAGTCGAAGCGGGCGGCAACGAGAGCGAGGATGACGCGGATCTTCTTGTAGGGAGAGTCGGCGACGCCAGAGAGGTCGGAGAGCTTGCGGATCTGCTCGTTCTTGTCGGTGCTCTTCTTACCACGGGCTTCCATGATGGCAGCGAGACTCTTAAAGAGACCTTCGGAAGTGAACGTCTCGGTACGGCCACCGCGACCGACGGTCTGGAAGTCGTCGTTGGCCTCGGGGTCGAGAGCGGCAGCGAGACGCTCCTTCTTGCCCTTGGAGATGGCGGTCTCTGCTTCGGTGGGGGCGGCGGCGGCGGACTGGGCAGCCTCGGCGGCGGCCTCAAAGCCTTCAGGGTCGGAACGGTATCTGGCGATGGTCTCGTCGTTCTCCTTGATGATCTTTTTCAACTTTTGCTTCATACCGTTCATGGCCTTGGCGACGGGCGCCTTCATCTTTTTCTTTGCGTCCTTCTCCTTGGCGGCGGACTCGTTGAGGAACTGATCAAGCTGAGAGATGGCTTTGTAGAAGAAGGCGGGGATCTGCTCGTTAAGGGTGCGCTGACGCTCGATGGAACGCATGAGGTTGTCAAAGTCCTTGTTGATCGAAGTCCAGTCGCTCGACTTTTGGGCGGACTCGATGTGGTTGACGATGGTCTGCATATCGTCGACACGCTTGTCCTTGGCGGACTTGACCACCTTCTTGACTTCCTCCTCCGAGTCACTGTCGTCGCTGTCAGCGGCACCCTTCATGAAACGAGAGGGGGGCACCTTTTTGCCGTCGGCGCGGGGCTCGTCATCGTCGTCGTCCGAGTCCAGCGACTCTTCATCCGAGTCGTCATCGGAGTCATCGTCAGAGTCGTCATCGCTACCCTTCAGGAAGCGCGAGCGACCGGCGGCAGGCTGAGTGGTCTTTGGTTGCTCATCTCCGGACTCGAGCTCAGAGAGCTCCTCCTCGGACGAGGAGATGTCGGATTCAGAGTCGGAATCGCCGACCTTGCGGAAGAAGCCGGACATGTTGTATTACGAGTAATGCGAAGTCGGCAGAGAAGCGAAGTGGATGCTCTCTCTGTTGCTGTAAGGAGGGACTGTTTGATGCTGCTGCTGCTGCGGTCGGTAGTCGGTAGGCAGGGTTGAGGAAGCTGTGAGGAAAAGGAAGGTGTAAAAGTACCGCTTTTCCGTCGACAAGAGTCCGTGAAGGTGATGGGTGAGGAGATCCAGGAAGTGATGGCGAACGAGTAGAAGGCCAATACTATCAAGGAAAAGGGGGGAGAGAATGATGGACGAGGGATGGCTTGCAAGCGAAGCCTTGATGGCGAAGACAGACCTCGAAGTCGAAGCTTGACAGACAAGGCAACAATTTTTCGCGCAGCAAACTGGCACAAGAGCAGTGGACTCGTGTCGCTCGACCCTTGCTTGCTTGCTTGCTTCGCAGAAGCGCCTTTTTGGCGAGTTTTCTTCTTGTCTCGCACTGTGTCGCTTTCCTCTTTTCTTCTCGTTCTTCTTCCTCTTCCCCTTCTTCTCAAGAGGCAAGCGCGCCTTGAAGTGGGTTTCAAGGATTTTGAAGTCTGCAGCTCGAGTTCGTATTTCAAAGCTCCCTCTTCAATTCAAACATTTGGATTCAATTTGCGATTGGGTTCGAGGAACAGCTGCGCTACGCGTTGTACAGACTGGCCTACCATCTGCTGCTCTACACAGCGAACAAAGGGCTTTCTCTGTTGTCGTGGATCCTATGCTCACATTGCGAAAACAACGTGGGCGTTCTTTGCAATGGTGAGCACTGCTAGATCTGGAGTAACACAGGCTGTGGGCTCTTGGCTCATCTCGGCGGTGGTTGCTTGAGCAATGGGTGTCGAGCCGCTGTTGGAAGCATTAGGTCAAAGTGTTAGGGCGACCCTTGGAGCCAGATTTAGCGGCTTTTTTTCACTGCTTTATTCGCGCGAAATGGTTGGGTTCTCGCGGAGCCGATCGGTGTGAGGCAGAGAGAGGCAGAGAAAAGTGTAGAGACGGAATCGGCAGGAGCCAACGAGAAGAAGTGCCTCCCGTATGTTTGCGTCGGTGTGTCGTCGCAGAGCTGCCGCGTACAATTTGGCGGGTGAGCCATCGGATTCGAGATTCGAGATTCTCGTCGTTGTCGTCGTCGTCGTCGTCGTCGCTATCATCATTACTCCTTCTTCACCCTCTCCACCTTCGTCTATCGCGTCTCGTCCCATCACAACATCAGCAGCCATGGCCGCCCGTTTCACCCCTCGTCTCTTCCAGCAGGCCACTCGTGGCTACGCCTCCCAGGCCGCCGTCCGAGCTCCCCGACAGCTCGAAGGTCTTCCCGGCAAGTACGCCTCGTCTGCGTACGTTGCTGCTCTCTCCAAGGACAGCAAGACGCTCGAGAAGGTCGAGGCCGACCTCAAGGCCGTTCAGGCCGCTCTCCTCGGCGCAGACGGTGCCAAGCTCCAGACTTTCATCTCCAACCCCACCCTCAGCGGCGCTGACCGAACCAAGGGTCTCGACCAGCTCCTCTCTTCCGGCAAGGGCAAGGCTGACCCCATCACTCAGTGAGTTTCGATTCATCGGCAGCAACTAGAGCAGCAGCAGTATCAGCAGCATCAGCAGCATCAGCAATGCACTTGGCACAGACCATATCGGCAGCCAATCGACAATGGCTTTCTGCTTTAGGGGATAGCCGGTAAAGAAATGCTTGGAAAGAAGCGGACACAACCTATTTTGAACCATTGAGCAGAACCAGACCGGATCATCCGATGTGACTGCCAGCAAGCACCAGCAAGCACGTCGGTTCACAGTTTCTCTCAACAGGCATCGGATTGCTCCGACGTAGACTGCCATGGCTATTCGGAGGGCACTCGTCCTGTACTGTTGGATAAATGGGACCGCAGGAATCGGCTTCATAGGGGGAAGGACAGGCGAAAGGAGGATGGATGCCATTTGGCAATCATACAAGCACGGTTTCCAGGCTGCTGCTGCTGCTGCTGCTGCTGCTGGCGCATCTGCCCGTACAAGCATCATCGGATTCCTTCTCCCACAATACAAAAAGAGCGCCGCCCGAACTGACCATATTTTCACTCTTTCTCCCTCCTATAGCAACCTCTTCACCGTGCTCGCCGAGAACGGCCGATTGGGAGACACCGAAAAGGTGATCGAAGGTTTCCAAGACCTCATGACCGCCTACCGCGGTGAGGTCGAGGTGACCGTCACCTCTGCTACTCCTCTGGACAAGTCGACCATCTCGCGCATCGAGTCGGCGCTCAAGGGATCGCAGATCGCCGCCAAGGGCAACGGCAAGACGCTCAAGATCGTGCAGAAGGTCAACCCCGCCATCCAGGGCGGTCTGGTCGTCGACTTTGCCGGCAACACGGTCGACCTCTCGGTCGCAAGCAAGGTCAACAAGCTCAACGCTTTGCTCGAGCAGGGTGTGTAAGCACATATCGCTTCGAGTTGAAGGCACCTGGTTCTTCAGATTGAGAGTCGGTGTTTAGTAGTTGTTCGTCGAAGAAATGATATGATTGTAGAATCAAGGCTGCCGTTCGACGTGAAGTTGTGATGAGACTCGCCTGGAGTGTGTTGACGAGCTTCAGCACATGGTAGGTTCAACGACCCAATGCTAGAACAAGCTGGCCACTTTCGTGGTTGGGTAATGCATGCGCGCTTTGCTGTTGGCAACTGTCTTAGAACGCTTCTCAAGAGCAAGCGAGTGACGATGAAGAGGTGGGTTGCGAAGCAAGCGTCAAGACTCTCCCCGGACATATACCTCATGGAAAAGCTGAACAGGATTTCACACCATTGCGCCGACTCGGCCTGCATCTGCACAGACACGCTCGTACACTCCCGCTGCTCACAACGCCACGCTCGAATCCCCCAGTGATCATAACCACGCAACCGACGAATCCAGAGCGGCCTGTGATGACATGCGGAGCATCAGGAGTATGTTTGCAATCATCTGCGATAATGTGCTTTCCAAAGAAGGATCCGTTCTGGTAGTTCGAAGGTGCGGTTAGCAGTCGCTTTCGTCATGTGAGCATATTAGATCTCGGGCATGTCAGGCATCCAGTTGGGCTGTATACACGACGACAACAAAAAATTTGCGAATCAATGGTCAGCATCAACTTTGCCCCTCTTTCTCTCTCTCTCTCTCTCTCTCTCTCTCTCTCTCTCTCTCTCTCTCTCTCTCTCT